TACAGCGAATGTCACAGTTGGCAAGCCCCAACCAACCACAAGCTCCGAGTCCCTCTGACATGTAAGCGGGCAAGCAAACATCACCGGATAGCCCAGAAAAGGCGGATATGAAAGCCAAAATCGCAACACAAAAAGCAGCCAGAAGCAAGCAGTGACTTTTGGTAAAAGAAAACTTTGAAACTCACCAATGTCCTCAGAGAGATAAGAGAAGATTCTATATCCATGGAACAAAAACAGGAGGTTATAACATAGGAACAGAAAGAATAAGAGAAATCTCCTAGAAACAGAGAAAAACTCAATAGAAGCGCTCAAAGATAAAGTTGAGAATGTCTTCCAGAAAGAAATGGGAGGGCTTCCCTGGTGGCGCAGTTGTTGAGAATCCGATGCAGGGGACACGGGTTCATGCCCCGGTCCAGGAAGATCCCACATGCGGGTGGGCCCGTGAGCCATGGCTGCTAAGCCTGTGAGTCCGGAGCCTGTGCTCCGCAACGGGAGAGACCACAACAGTGAGCGGCCCGTGTACCGCAAAAAAAAAAAAAAAAGAAATGGGAAACCTAAGAAAATCAGACTGTCAATCCAGAAGGTCCAATAGTTGAATTCTAGAAAGAGAAAGAAAGTGAATGGAAAGATATGAAGGTAATAAATCAAGAAAAACGCCCAGCACTTAAGAACAGAAGTTTCCAAAATAAAGGGGCCCAAAGGGCAGGCAAGACACTAGATGAAAACAGACTCCAAGGGACATCACTGCACTGGGTGCTCTGAATTTCACAGAAAATCCCTCAAGCTTCAAAAAAGAAAACACAGTCACATATAAAGGCTCAAGAATCAGAAAGCTCTAACACTTCAAGGCTAACACTGGGGGATGGAAGACAGAGGGGCAAACTGATGTCCAACCTCTAAACACAGGTATATGGGCAGAATAACACACTCCAGACATCCAGGCTCTCAAAATTTTATCTCCCAGGCAACTCCTTGAGGAAGAGCTCCATCAAAATGAGACAGTAAAAAAAAAAAAAAAAGAAAAAAAAATCAAGAAAGAGAAAGACATGGGTTCCAGGAAACTGAGGGCAGTGAGATTCCAGCAGGTTGGAGGTCTGCGCCTACTGAACTTGATCAGATAAAAAGATCTGAATTGCTTGAAAGGAGATTTAGACAACTAGTGAATTTGGGGTTGACTTTTAGTGGCAAATGCATATAAAACTAAGAAAACAACAAAAACCACCAATAAGAACTTCAGGAAAAACAAAAACTTCTCCAGGAAAGGAAAAGTAATCCCATCACACCATTTGGCCCAACTGTGAATGGTACCAGTAGCCAGAATATAAACACTAAATACCTGACAGCAAATTAAAGGTGCACCTGCTTTGGGCAGCCATGCATTTGTCTGCAGGGCGAAGGCAGAGGGGTGAAAGAAAGTGAGAGACATCCAGTAGAGAGGCAATGTGTGGGACAGGGGAGGGAAGGGCAGGAAGTGAGCGAGTCAGGCGTGGATGCGAGAGATGGAGGCAAAGACCAAAGCCAACAGCTAGGAGACCAACGTGGGTGTCCTGCAAGGGAGGAGACATGATGGGAGGAAGGAAACTGACACTTTTTCTTCCTTACAAGCTTTTCCAGATTTACTTGATCTTTTCAAAAGTATATGAAGGTATAACCTTGATTTGAAATAAAATTAAGTTTTAATGTTAAAATCCAAATGAGTGCCAATAAACAGTATTAAGGGAGAGTATGCATGGCCAATGCATTGTTATCAAATTAACAGCAAGCATCAACAAGATGACTAACATGACAGGATACCCAGACAAGTCCGGCTTGTCTTAAATGATAGTTGAGGAACCTTACCTCACCGGGTAAACAGCGGCCGACTAGGAATATCACCTCTAAAATGTCTCTGATGTTAGAAATACAAAAAGGAAAAAAATAAATGAAAATCCTGCTTTACCACAAAGTAACTTGTGTAATCAAGTTTTTAAATGTTACACACTGAAGAAAGTTTAGTTCTTTTCTTGGCTTTCAAATGTTCAATGTTGTGGTGCCTTCATAATTCAAGAGAAAAGGCATTCTGACACATTAAGGTTCTTTGGCTGTCTTTCTATACTTGGTCAAAACGTTTGACAACATGCTCCTTGGACTTTTTGCCACCAAAAGTCAGCAACTGAGAGTTCAGCTGTGTGCTATGTTTCTTCCAGGAGCTTGGTTATTTCTTAATAGAAAAGGGAAATGCCTTCCTATGATCACTAGCCCTGTGAGATGCATGTGTGCTGAATGGGCCATACCAAATGTAAGCATCACTCTGTACTTTAAAAAGTGTTCTCTGCTCAAGCCCTTTAGGTAAATAAGTTTCAGCTGCCAAGCATTAATGGTGAGTCTACCTGATCCACTTGTGACTAAAGATCACAAAGTCATCTTGGTGGACTGTGTAATCATTTGAAATGCTGTCCAAGTCAGTGTCTTAGGGCATTAAGTCCTTCACCATTTGAGATGCCAGCAGTGTACCAAATTCTCAACCTCTTGCCCATATATGCCACCCCCTAAGTGGACAGCTGTCACTTGTTCCCTTTGCATAAGCTAGTCTTCTTGTCTAGAACAGCCCATCCTGCCAACTCCTCCTGGAAAAACTCTTATTCATCTTCTAAACCCCAGTTTCAGAACCACATTCTTTGTGAAGACTTTCCAACAGGTAATCACTGCCCCCTCTGTCCTACCTCCACTCCTTGTACATACTTCCATTACTGCACTCAGAACACCGTAATCTCTCCTTTACAAGTGAATCTCCCCTACCAGACCATAAACTGCTTGAGGAAAAGAAAAAAAGTCTGTGTCCTCTTTACCTCTGCTGCATCCCCAGAACCCTTAACAATGTCTGGCACACAGCCATTTCCAATACATATTTTTTTGAAATATTTTCTACTGTGGAAGAAGTAAAGCCATGAGGTCAAAGTCAGGCCGCCAGAAACCCCAAACAACAAATCCAAAGGAAAAAAAATACTTGATGATTCAAGAAGAAATTCTCCCATCAGGACGCTGAGAAGTCAGCCTGGCCCCCTGGAGGGGGCACTGTGACCGGGTTCCAGCGGGTCCTCGAGTGCCCAGGAATGTGGGCCAACGGCATCTTAGGAGTGCTCTCCTTACACGCTCTGCTCCTTTACTCAGGTGACCTCAGCCTGATTAGAGAAGAGGTGGTAAGCCCCAATCGGGACGTGACACACAGCAGAATTAATAGTAGTTACACGGAAGTTTAATCTTCACTGTTTTCAATGGCTTTCATATTTTGTCCTTCAAGACTTGAGGGGGTATGTTCAGTTTTCTCCAAACCTAAAGCTCTCATGACAGGTGGGTGGTTGATGTCTCAGATCCAGAGAACTGGGAGTTCAAATGACGGGAGCCACTCTGAACCAAATACCTTCTCGACCACTTTAACACTGCTTCCAAACACCCTAATATTAAGCGCACTTCATAAGGGCAGCTGGGGTTGCTTAGTGTTCAAAGTGATCGAATATCAACCTGAGCACTAGGCTTCAGCCAATGTCTCATCAGCCCGGGTTCGCTCCCATAAAAGAACACTGAGATTATTTTGCAGAACAGCACTACCAGTTACCTCAGACAAAATCCTAATTGTGACTCACCCCGTGTTAACAGGGCCTCAAGAAAGCTACCTGCCAAGAGAGTGCCTGTCCGTCCTTAGTTCTGCGGCAGACACCCAAACGCAGGTGAAAGCAACGCAACGCCTGAGGGTTTTCGGCAGCTCTGCAGCTGAGGACCAAGAAACCCCGCAGCTCAAGGGTAAACCATCCTGCTCCTGAAGATTCCTCTAAGACTCATCTACACTCCTTCGGACGTTTCATCTGACCATAGCGTTGCTTAATAAAACACAGAGGTCAGTTTTTCTTTGGTCTTACGTGGTGCCCGGACACCACGCACAGGCCGACTTCCCCACCTCCTGAGTCGGCGGGGAGAGGACGCCTGGCCCTGAGCACTTCGCCACTTTCCAAAGACACCCTGTCAGGACGCCCTACGGTCACAAAGAGCTTCAGGCGCCCCGCGCTACGCGGCCGCCCAGGAGAGACTCCAGAGCCGTGTTTACTGTCAGTCGTGGGTAACCCAGAAAGGCTTCCTGTACGAGGGCGTTTGCGCCCAGCCTCCCAGCAAGCATCGGCCAGCTGCTGGGCCTGCAGGCCACGGGAGGGGGGGAAGGACGCCCCGGGCCGGTCACGCCCCCGCCGGGCACGTCGCCCTCCCGCCCCCGAGCCGCGCCGCCGCAGTGGACTTGGAGGCGCCCCCAGGCCTCACCTAGCGAAAGCGAGGGGCAGCCCGCCCTCCCCCTCCCCGTCGGGCGCGGGCTCCAGGCTCTGGCGCACGAAGACCACGTCCCCGGGGACGGGCGCCCAACTCTATGGTCCGCGCACCAGTCGCCGACCCCCACGTGACCCACGGCAGCCAATCGAGGCGAGGCCCGGACCACCGAGACGACGGCGGCTCGGGGCTAGAGCAGCCCCGCCGGCCGCTCGCCGTCCCTCCCCGGTCCCGCTCCGGTGCTCCCTGCTCGGTGCTGCCGCCATCTTCCTGGAAGAGAGGACCAGAGGCGAAAGGTCCCCTCCCCGTGGTCGTTCCGAACTCTTACCGCCACCTGCCCTGCCCCCGTCCCCCTCTCTTCTCACCGGTCATTTAGCTCCATCTAAAGAAACGCTCTTCCTCCCATTCTAGTTATTCACAAAGCAATGAATTACATTACCTGTTCCACTCTTATCAGCGTAAGGAAACGAAGCTCATAAGGTAGGAACTGTGGCGAAACAGGGACGAGCCGCCATCTTGGTAAAGGAGAAGAGGCTACGCTTGACCTCCCCCCCACCCCCCGGCCTCTATATGGCCAACCGCCGTGGGAGGGGCACGGCGCCTGCGCAGAGGCGGAAACCGCGGACGAGCCTGCGCCTGCGCACTCGGACGCTGGCGAATGGGGGCGGGGAGGAAAGCGTTGGCAAGGGGGCGGATCGACGCGTTGACGCAATCCGCCCACGCGCGGGGGCGGGGCGGGGCGCGAGTCTGCGGGCGGTCCTGGGCGGATCCGCGGCGCGGTCGGTCGGCGCTTGTTCTTCGGTGCGACCGCGGTGAGTATCTCGCCGTGGGTCTCGGCCGCCGTTGGGGCGCGAGCTGTGGGCCGACGCAGAGGAGTGGTGGCCGGCTCGAGGCGGTGGTCGGCTCGGGGCGGTGGTCTGTCCGCTCCGGGGGGGACGCGGGCGGGGCCACTCGCACGGTGTGGGGGAGGGGCGGCCGGCCCGGCATTCTGGGCCCTCCCCAGATCTCCCCCATCCCCCCGGCGCTCTCCCGGCCCTCCCCCGCCCTTCTGGGCCGTACCGGGTCCCGGACCCCGTCCCCCTGGGCCCTGGCGCTGGCGGAGGCGGCGGGGTGTGTCCCGGGCGAACCTGAGTGGCCCTTCTCACCAGGTGGGAGTTACGTGGGGCGTGGTCAATAATGGACCTGGGACGTGGAGCGTGCGCTGGCGGTCGTGGTTCGGCAGGGACGGTGCGGGTCGCGCTAACGGGCGCTTCCGCTTCGCCGGCTCCCGGCCGAGAGGAAGCTCGCGGGGCGCTGGCCGCCCGCTCCACTCAGCAGGCCCCGCCTGGCCGCACACACAGCGGGAGGAGAAGGAGGAGGGGAGGGGAGGGGAGGCCCCGCGCAGGGCCGAATCCGGAGGGACGGGCGGCACCGCCGGGGAGGGCCCGTTCCCCTGAAGGCCCGAGATGGGGCCGACCTGTGGCCGCCGTGGCTCAGTAAGGCCCGCAGGACCGCCTGTTACCTTTACGGCCTCAGTTTTCGTCGGTGCCTCGCTGCCTTGTCTGTGTCCCCAACACGCGGACGCGTGACCCAACAGCGCTGACTTACAGTTCCGACTGCTGTGGTCTTCCTCACCTTTAGCCTTGCTTCAGAGCCTGCCTTTTGCCTGGAGCCCGCTTACCTCCGCCGTTTGCTTGCCTCGTTTCTGCTCTGTTATTCAGGACTGCGGCCGGGTTAGACTTCTTCCCCCTGAAATAGGTGTCCGCCTGCTGTCAGCCTCTGCTATTCCGTGCGGTGGTTGTCCTGTGAGGGGCAGCGGTGTGTGGACCTGCCCAGCTTTACTTGTTGCCTAGGACGGTCATCAGCACGAAACAGGTTTTCAGATATCTCTTGAACGACTCAGATCATTATAATACCTCAAGGCAAGCTTAATGGCCGAAGCAGCCTTGCCATCGTAAGGAGAGATGTATGATGGTGTACGGGTCGTGCAGGCTGCTTTCCTGGTGCTTGTAATTTAAGGTTCGTTATTTTTGGTTTTGGTAGCTCCCACTTAGGCTTTCTTTGCACCGCCCAGCCTCCTAACTCGCAATGAATTATGGCAGTGGTCTCTTCGGCCATAAAGTTACCCTGATTTTTTTTTTTTTCCCCCGTTTTTCATCTTGGTCTCTCAGCGAGCACTGCAGCCCAGGGTAAAGAACAAGGGCTTTTCAGTCAAATCAGATTTGCATTCTGACTGCTCTTGAACTAGCAGGGTGACCTAGGGAAATGGGGATGGGATGGGCGGCAACCTCCCTCTGTGGACTTTAATAAATGTGATTCAGGTCCTTTTTATACTCAACTCGAAAGACAGAAACTGCTGGAAAAGGAAAAGTTGGCTTTGTTTTTTCTCCAGAGAGAAGGGGACACCAAAGCTCATTTGCCCGCAGAATTGGGGTGAAGCCACTTGTATAGTCTTACTTATCTCATTTTGTGCTCATCGTCATACTTGTCACTAGAGAAAATTCATTTGATTGTGGGGTGCTGCCCTCATGCTGTTAAAGAGTGTGGTATACTGTACATGGACCTCAAATCCAAAGGCTCTGAATGCCAGATGTTCCAAGGGCTCTGGATGAGGGACTATGGACCTTTGGGTCCTACTTTGCAGGGTCGTTTGTGGATGGGGATAATGAATGTAAATACAAGGATGACATGTCGGTGAATGGTGGTTTTGGGTAGTCCACTGATACACATAAATGCCAGTAGCAAAGCAAGTTTCTGTTGCCGAGAATCCAGTTTTAGCCATCTGTTCTTTGTCCCCTTTTGTTTTAGAAAAGTTGATTTCTTCTGTGTGGACTGGGGTGGAAGTATTGCTCTGTGGAAGAGGGAAGCCATGGGTCAAAGAGAAAAAAAGTTTTAAATAGTTTCTAGTATCTAGAATGAGTGCATAAATTTTTCATTTGACCTAATTTCTGAGGTTTGGGGGATCTGATTGATATGCATCCAAGGTTTAAACTAATCACAGTGCTTTGCATTTTGTGTTGCTGGATCAAGGCTTTCTCACTGAAAACCAGGCACTTCAGAAGTTCAACATTTCTCTTTCAACTTTCATTTTACATTAGTCAGTTAATAACTTAAACTGTTGGAAAACGGTAGTGGATCCAAATTATGTTTCAGAAAAAAAAAACACCTGAGTATGAAAGAAATAGGTTGTGGTAAGAGAAACTTGGTAAAATTAAAGCAAAGTTGAAATAAGTGTTTTTTTGAGAATTAACATCCTGTTCCAATAATATTACAATAGTATTCTCCACTTCCCCATATGTGTGCATCAAGATAGGTTTTAAGTAGGAGGAAACCGATAGGAGTGATGGTCCCCTTCTCACCTGCTGAGCAGAAAAACGGCCTGCGCATGTGTGGGCTTAAGGTGCAGTACTGTCAGGGTGCTCACGTGAAGTTGGTTGGGAGTACAGGCAGGGGCCCAGAGTTGAGTGAGGAGCGGGTGGGTGGAAGCTCCAGAGCCACTTTGATGACAGTCCTCTGCCCCACCAGGTTGGTGTGAAATCAGATGCGTGTGGTAGCTAGTAAGGCGTGTGATAGCTAGTAAGGCGAGAGCCTGCTCTTCCTTTCTATCCTCAGGCATTTATTCTCCAGGTGATCTTGAAAGTCATTTTATCCAGTCCTTTAAGAAAAAAAAAAAATTCATCATTAGGGAGTCCAGCTGAGATTGGACCACACTTATCTACTAATTTAAGAAATAAAAATGATTTGGTTCATGCTAGGCCTTTCTAAATTTGTTCCTACATTTGTTTTGTTTTTGCTCTATTATAAATGGCATTTTCCCTGCATTTCCATTTCTTGGTATTCATTGCTAGTGCAAAATAGAACTTTTGAGTTACACCTGTCTTGTATGCAGCCACCTTAAGTAAATTACCATATTCTGCAATCTTTTTTAACCAAAGTGTTTGTGGGGTTTTTGGTGTGTAGTCAGTCATATCAGAAAAATCATTTTCACTAAACCTGCCAGAGTAGCAGTAAATAATCACGGTTAGACTGCAACATCAGGGTCTTATTTGGATCCTGCTTCAAATGAACAACGACAAAAAGAAGAGACAATTAGAAAAATATGAACCCTGGGTATTTTGTTATATTAAAGGAGTATTGCTAATCTTCCTTATGATAATGGCTTGTCGCTTTTCAGTCCTTATTTTTAGAAATATCTAGTACTCATAATCAGGGATCTGGGACAGTGGTTGAGGGGATATCTGAGTTAATAACTGTTGAATCTGGAGGATGGGGTGGTCCTTGTGGCTTTTGTTTTACTTTTGAATATGTTTGGAGTTTTTCATAAGTGTTTTAAGATAACTGTGGTGGTAATGGGCATCCTTTCCTAATTAGTGATGGTACTTTAAATAATTTAGCATCTGTTGTTTAGAGGATAACGTTTGCCGTTGGTTTCCGGAAATATATTTAAGCCGTTTCCTCACTTAGTGTTTTTATTAGAGTTGGTTGTTGGATTTTATCACATGTGTGTTCAGCATCTATTCACATATGGTTTTCTCCTTTAATTTGTTGTAACAGCTTGTATTGATAGATGCTTTTGGTACATTTCCGGGATATAATTGCTAGCAAGTATTTCATTGAGAAATTTTGCATTTCTATTCATAAGTGAGATTGACCTGCAGCCAGCCAGCTTGCTGGCTCTTTCTTCTCTGTCTGGGTTTGTTGTTGGAGTTGTGCTGTCTTCATAAAATAACTTGGAGTGCTTTCCCTTTTTCTGTAGTGGCTTAAGTGACGCTGGAGTTATCTGTTCAGTTTTGGATGGAATTCAGGTCTAGTTCTGTCTGGTCCTGGTCCCTTTCTTTTTTTTCTCCAATTTTTTTTTTTTTTTTTTTTTTGCCCGCGATATGCAGCATGTGGGATCTTAGTTCCCTGACCAGGGTTCAAACCCGCGCCCCCTGCATTGGCAGCGCAGAGTCTTAACCACTGGACGGACCGCCAGGGAAGTCCTCATTGGTAACTCTTTGTTCACCTGTTCAGTGGGATTTGTTATAGTCAGGTTTTCAGTTCTTGCTTCAATTTTGGTAATTTACAGTGTCTAGGAAATCATCCATTTCTTCCAGATTTTCTAGTTTGTGGCCATCTTTATACATGTGGTCTCCTATGTCTGTGATTATATCTTCTTGTTTTTCCTCAAAGGAACTGGTGAGGAATTTGTTTTAGAGAACCAGCTTTTGGTTTTATTTATCCTTCTATTGAGTTATTTTCCGTGTTCTTTAATAGTGAAAATATGTAAAACCCAAATTCTCATCTGAGTCTATGAAACTTTACTGTGCCCCACTGATGTTGCTTTTATCTTCTTTCCATTGCTTTCTAGATAACTTATGGCTTTGCTTTTATCCCCCCTTGATCCAAGGGTTATCAAGGAATGTTCTGAATAACTAGGAGTTCCTTTTTATCTGTTTTAACAGATCATGATCTGAGAACACGGACTGTAAAAATAACTTTGCATAAATTTTCTTCACAGCAGTTACATGACAAAGTGTTTTTCTTTAGTCGCCTTTCTTTGTCTATTGACTCAAGGTTCTCTATACCAGTTAATTCAGATGTGTCGGTGGTCTCAGACCTCTGCCCTAGCTCATACTGTGTGTAGGGAGTCTGTCCAATTCCCAGAGAAGGTATTAAAGCCTCCCACTTGAATTGTATTTTTGTCAAGTTCACATAGTATTTTTTCTAGTCTTTGCTCTATGTATTTATCTGCTGTAAGTTTCATAGATACGGGTTTATGAATGGTTTATCTTTATACATTGTTTCTTTTATCATGACCACACTTTCCTTAAATCCCAACAGGGTTGGTATTAACAATGTCTCTCCCTGTTCTTTTCTGTTTGCACTAGCTTGGTATCTCTTAGCCTGTTCCTTTGTTTTCAACATTTTTTTTAGCTACTTTGTTCTAAGCATATTTCTTCCATGTAACATACCTTGGTTTTCTGCTGTTCTCCCTCCGCCCCGCCCCTGCCCCCAACCTGTCTCCTCTTTTAAGGAGAAAATTTGCTTCTTTCACATTTAGACTGGTGACTGATACTCTTGAATTTTTCTGTTTCTTTTCCATTATTTTTACTGGTTTGATCAAGTTGCTGTTCCATATTTTTCTCTTAATTTGGAAGTTTTTTTTAATGGCTACCTTCCTTTTTTATTTTTCGTTATCAGACACTTACCTCTTTATTATTTAAAACAACGTGTCCGCTGCTTCTTCTGCCAGGACCATCTATCTGTTTTCCAACTGACTGCTCCCTTCTCCCTCTTGAAAGTTTTACCTCTCTGCTGTCACTCCTGCCCCCAACTCTTAGGTTTTGCTGAGGAGGTTTAATATTTTAAATTCTGGACTATGAATAGTGTTCCCCTAGGATGTTCCTTGTATTCAAGAGATCTTAAGTCACTCGTATAGTACACAGCCCCAGGTAAACTCTGGGATTGCTCTTCCTGGGACATTTTTCTTTTGTTATTACTGTTTTATTTTCCTCCATCTTCCCCTTTTACTTATGGGAACTCTTACTCTAACAGGTAGATTTCCTAGATTTTGTCTCTGAGGCTGTCTTTTACCCATGATTTCTCTCCCTGCTGTTTGCCTTGTGCACCAAGATTTCTTACATTTGGTCTTCCATGTCACATTCCGAGTCTCTACTGTGACCTTTCATTTAGTTCAGCTACAGCAGTTTGGGTTTGAAAATCGTGGATTTTAGGTCCAGAAGGCTGTGTGTGAATTACTGTGCTTGCATCTTCATCAGAGCGATACTGTTTCTTGGTTTCAGGTGTTGTCTTCCTCCTCCTGCAGCTTGGCTGTTGAGCTTATCTTGGAGGCAGGGGGACGAGGGCACGCTCACATGGGCCTGTCACCTTACCCCTCGAGTCCTCACACCCAAGGCCTCTGTTCCCAAGCTCTTCCAGGGTTCACTGTATTCTTCTCGTTCCTTTCTGGTTCTTCCTTCCGAGGAAGCCTTCATCTTCTGCTTCTCTTGCTGCCTAGCGTTTCTGCTGTCCTGGAAGCTTGCCTTGATTCTGCTGCCTAGGTTGAAGCATTTTGGACAGCCTAGATGGAGCTTTACCTGTCTCCTTAGTCAGAATTGCTCCTTCCTTTGCACACTAGGCTGCACCCAGTACTCCTTCCCCACCTTTAGTGATGCTCTGTCATAGTAAGAAGCAGTTTACAGACTCCTCTCCCTTTTCCCCTCTCGTTCCTGCCAGACAGATGAGAGGGAGAACCAAGACTGTATCCTTATCTTCTATGACGTCGTACCACAGAGTTCGAGTTAAGTTAAGAATGCTACTGCTATCTTGACCCTGGTTAACCATTTTTTCAGAGGTGGTTTGGGAACATTTCCATTCAAAAAGGAAACTTGGGGGCATGCAGCATTCAGGAATGTTTCAGTCTGGGGGAAATAGGGAGGCAAGAAAGTGAAAGAAGTTTTCTCATAAGTTTCTAAGCACCAGAAGGAATCAAATTTGACTGCATTCACATCTCTTGACTTTGTCACCAAAGGTTAGCCAGCAGACCCCACATCTCCCGAGGCTTCCAAACTATCGTCACACTTCTCGAGCACTCAGGTGCCTTCAGTCCTTTTTCTTTTACTTGTAAGTGTAGTTGTGTTGCTGTGTGTGCCCCAATGTCAAGGTCCAGTTCTCAGGAGCTCAGGAAGTCTCCAGCAGACAGCAGACAGATGGGCTCCGACAGGCACCCCTTCCTTGTACGAAGCTTTCAAAGAGAGAAAGGAAATTATGTAATTCCAGAGGTTATGGGAATTTGTCTTTTTCTCCAGTTGCTCCTTAGTGCCTAACGTGTAATCAGTACTAAAAAAGGTATTGTTGAAGACATGGAATGTATATTTCTATACATGTGTATAGATGGTCGCTTTCATTAGCTTAATTTTTTATATCTAATTTATATAATGAGGTGATAATTTCATCATTTCTGGGGAAGTGTTTGACATAATGAGAAGCTGAGTGAGACAGAAGCTATTGATGCCTCATGTAAGCCTTTTTACATATCAATTCATGTTAAATTAAATATGTATGTATATGTGTATGGATGTACATGTACTTTTCTTTTTTTTAGACAGATTGACAAAACTTCACTAAAGATGTCTAAGGTAAGAGATCACACTTCATGTATCTACAGTATAAGGAGAAACTGGTTTATGTTTTGAAACCTTTTATAGTCAAGATTTTTATGATTCATTATTTTGTTTTGTTTTGTTTTTGGGTTTTTTTGCGGTACGCGGGCCTCTCACTGTTGTGGCCTCTCCCGCTGCGGAGCACAGGCTCCAGACGCGCAGGCTCAGCAGCCATGGCTCACGGGCCCAGCCGCTCCGCGGCATGTGGGATCTTCCTGGACCGGGGCACGAACCCGTGTCCCCTGCATCAGCAGGCAGACTCTCAACCGCTGCGCCACCAGGGAAGCCCTGATTCATTATTTTTAATATAACTGTTATTTGATTCATTAAGACAGAGTTCTAATTTAACAGTCATCCTAAAAGCTGTGAGCTTTTTTCAGATTTTCAATTTGTTTCTAAAAACATTAATGACAATCCATTAAGCCTCCCTAGATCATTCCCAGCAGACCATTCAAATAATAATTTTAAAATTGTAATAATTCATCATGATGAAATTTATGGGGTTCTCAGACTTGATAAATTGGCTTACGTCAGCTCTTGAAAATTACTCCAGAGCCTGGAAAGGAATTGGTTCTAAAAGACATGCTGAGAAAAACAGAACTTGTAGTTAAAATTGCAAGATTATTATTTCTCTTTACTTTTTATTTTTAAGTCTTTGGGTGTTTCTTACTGTGATGCGCAGTCATAGTGATTTTCATTTTTTTTTTTTTTTTGCGGTACGCGGGCCTTTCACTGTTGTGGCCTCTCCCGTTGTGGAGCACAGGCTCCGGATGCGCAGGCCCAGCCGCCATGGCTCACGGCCCAGCCGCTCCGCGGCATGTGGGATCTTCCCAGACCAGGGCACAAACCTGTGTCCCCTGCATCGGCAGGCAGACTCTCAACCACTGTGCCACCAGGGAAGCCCCGATTTTCATTTTTTATACGAGTGTCAGTGTGGAACTTTGATAAGCGAAAAGGAAAATAAAAATTAGCCATAATTCCATTATTCAGAATAACCACTTGTAACGTTTTGTGAATATTCTTTTTGCATGTGTGACTATATATTTATAAAAGGTAACCTTAAAGGAAATACTATTCTAAATCTTGCCTTGTACATTTAATACATCAATTGCTGTATCTTTTTTTATTTTTTCCCATTTTTAGTATATCACAGCCTAGATTTCACTGTTTTACTATAGTTGCTTTTTTGAATCTCCTCGTGTCAGGTATCCATCTATCAAGGAACATTGACGCTTCAGCGGCTTCTGCCGTGACCCCTTTCTCACTCTCAGTCTTCTTTCTCTTGGTCTGTGAAGCTAGATTCTCAGCGTCCCACCCCTAAGTGGGCTGCCTCACCCTTGGTGGGGCTCGGTTCCATTGAGCTAGGAATGCAGCAAGAGACATGACTGTTTCCTGGCTACTTTTCACAAATGCACCGCTCCTGATACACGAAGTCTTTACTTTGGAAGCTGTTCTTTTTTTTTGCGGTACGCGGGCCTCTCACTGCTGTGGCCTCTCCCGTTGCGGAGCACAGGCTCCGGATGCACAGGCCCAGCGGCCATGGCTCACACGCCTAGCCGCTCCGTGGCATGTGGGATCTCCCCGGACTGGGGCACGAACGCGTGTCCCCTGCATCGGCAGGCGGACTCTCAGCCACTACGTCACCAGGGAAGCCCTGGAAGCTGTTCTTTAGCGAAGTTTGTTGAATGAGACCACTGTAAGTGGGGTCTTACTTTGTACGTCTGACAGATTTTCCTTCAACTCTATAGACAGTTTTTTAAGTTGAGAGTTGAAATTGTACTAAGATGAACTAAGCATGTATCTTTTATGTATTGCTTAATTGCTTAACAGAAATGTTATTTTAGGTCAGCATGTAGGCATGAAGTGATACTGGATTGGTTTTTCTTCTTTTTTAAATATCTTCAAATGAATACCGTCAGTTTTCTGATAGCAGTGACTTTTTGGGAGTATTGATTTATGTGTATACTTTTTTGATTTGTGAGAACTAAGGATATCTGTGTTTGTCACAGGTTTAATAATGTCTTAAAAGCAACTAATAAGGTGTTTATTTGTTCTTTTTTTAGCAACAACCAACTCAGTTTATAAATCCAGAAACTCCTGGCTATGTTGGATTTGCAAATCTTCCCAATCAAGTTCATCGAAAATCAGTGAAAAAAGGTTTTGAATTCACGCTAATGGTGGTTGGTAAGAAATTAACTTGTACTCTCAAGTTATTGAATATGTGGGTGTCTCCTTTTCCCAACCTGTGGAGTATAATAACGTGACCTAAAAGTCACAGGGAAGATTCCTTTGTTGACGGAGTCAGATAACTTGGGAATTTGAAAAAAAAAACTGCTTTAGAAAATTTTGCTGAAGTGCAGAATTATAATTTTTATGTCATTTTTTGCTTGGATGTAGTGAAAGTGTTTGCTCGTTGTGACAGCTGGCCTCTGAAGCCCTCCCGCCGTCCCCCAAATCCTTGCTGCCTGGTGTCCATGACGCTTTCTAGCCCCTTCCCCACTGAGCAGGGCTCACTCGTGTAGCCAGTAGGACGTTGTGGAGATGAAGGTGTGGCCTGTGCCTTGCCTTCTCTTGAATCATCACTGTCGGGACACCTCATAGAGAAGTCCTGCAGGGCACGGCGCTGAGGCCTGTGAGTGACCATGTAGGTGACCGTTCAGAAATGTCCTCCAGCCCCAGTTAAGCCTGCTGGTGACCGCCATCCTGGCCAACATCCCTGTCACCACAGAGGGACCCTCAAGCCATAACCGCCCACCTTAGACACTCCCGAACTCCTGACCCAGAGTCCATGAGGTGTTAAATGTTTGTTGTTGGTTTAGGCCTCTGAATTTTACAGTAATTTGTTACACTTGAAAGATAACAAACACTTATAATTAACCAGAAGCGTGTTTATTTAATACTCATAAAAAGAACTGTTCAACTTTTTCTGGTGGGTATATTTTAAACAAGGAACAACCCTGACTACACACACGTATTTTAAAATAAGTACTTAAAGTCGTTTGAAATTGAGTGGTTACCTGAAATGTCTATTATATCAGATATATTTTATCATGGATTATAGCATATATATTCTGTTTCAGTGTGTCCATAACAAACTTAACTTGATGAACTATTAATTCTGCTTACCATACCACATTTTATTTCATTTCTGATAATCGCAAAATTCTCCCCAAATGCTGAGGTAGGCACTGGGAAAGCTTGATGGGTGGTCATGCATGAGTGGGACAAACGATTGTTTCCTGGGATAAACAGTTCACAAATCTGAGATGAAAAAAACTGTGGGACCCTAGGCCCAGAGAAGTGAATGGTGACATGTTTTAGGAGCACAATTACATGACGATGTTAATAATGCAAATTCCGGTTCCTAGTAGAAAAGAGAAATGCAGTGCAGTCTGTCACACAGTTACTTAATTTAGAGCTTTAAAACCAGACAATTACTTCCGGCCCTGATAGAATAACTCGGGTTGACAAGCTCTTTCTGTAAAGGGTCAGATAGTAAATATTTAAGGCTTTGTGAGCCTTACAGCTTTTGGTGCAGCTGTTAACTCCACTGTCGTCGTGGGAACCAGCCATAGACGACACATGAACAAACAGGCACAGCTGTCCCAGTGAAGCTCTGTTTTGTTCATGTGGTAGAGGGCTAGATTCGCAGGAGAGCTGCAGCTTGCCAAACCCTGAAAAAGCTGTACCGGACTAGTCCTCTTGACCTAAATAACCAGAAGCCTCGGCAAGATACATGAAACAGCCCTTTTAAGACATTGAACAGGCAATGCAGGACTTTGGTCCTTGAGAGAAGGAAAAAGAATTCTATGAACTATAAAGTTACTCCAGCTTTCTGCCATTCACCTGCCCTTTTCCCAGGGAGGAGTAAACCTAACACGGTTAGTCTCGGCTGAAGAATGAGACCACAGTTCGGGGAAGCTGAGGTAACAGGCAGAAGAGAACGACTTCACACATCTGCATTGGGGTTCCTTTGGCACCATGGCTAAACAGTAACTTGTATATGGGTAGGGGAAGCCTCCTTGAAGCCAGGCAAAATAGAACCACCAGGAAGGAGACTGCATGGATGGAGTTAGAGAACTGGAAAGGGGTCAAGGAGACATTGGAATTCCAGCCAACCAGAGGGAAATCTTACTGAACACCCATGACATTCAGGAAAGTCCTTGCTTAGGAGTAGGGCTAAACTCACATAAAGGCTGTTCTAAACCCTGTCTAACAAAGCTTATAAACGAACCTTGAAAGGATCAAGCTTCTTTACAAATGAATTACCTACTTGCCAGGACAAAAACCCATCACTCATTAAAGAAGGACATTAAAATCTAGACTCTTACAGTATAACCTTCACAATACTGAGCATCCACTGAAAAGTTCCTGGATGTGCAAAGAAGGGGGAAAAAAATGGCCCATAACCAGGACAGAAATCAGGCAGTAGAAACAGATCCAGAAAAGAACAAAATGGAACTTCTAGAGATTAAAAAATGTATACAACGTCTGAGATAAAAAATTTTCTGATGGGCCTAACAGCAAATTGTACACTGCAGAAGAATGGGGGCAATAGAAAGCATCCAAACTGAAGCACCAAGCAGAATAAATATAAAGAAAAGCACGTAACCGGATGGTGAAAACCACTGATAAATGGGAAAATCTTACAAGCACACCAGGGCATGTAACCAGATGGCGAAAACCACTGATAAATGGGAAAATCCTACAAGCACACCAGGGCATGTAGCCGGATGGTGAAAACCACTGATAAATGGGAAAATCCTACAAGCACACCAGGGCATGTAACCAGATGGTGAAAACCACTGATGAATGGGAAAATCCTACAAGCAGCCAGAGAAAAAGAAAAACATTACATAGGGTCGGAGGTAAGAAGGACCACTGACTGCTCATCAGGAATAATGTAAGCCATGTGGAATGACAGTTTAAAGTACTGAAAGTATAAAACTATCAGCCTAGAATTCTGTGTTTGTCAAAAATAACCTTTAAAAATGAAGGTTAAAAAGAAGGTAAAGACATTTTCAGATAAATAAGTGGAAAGAATTTATCAGTATCAGACGTATACCGTAAGGAAGATTAAATGAGGTTTTCAAGTTGGCACAGAAGGGAGAGCACTGGAAATGGCAAATGTATTGGTAAAAATAAGACTTCTTGCTTTTCAGTTTCTTTCAAAGATAATTGATAGTGTGTAACGTGTAGGAATAAAATGAATAAGGATAGCACAGAGGACAGGGTGAGTAGAAGCGTGCGGCTGTGAACTTCTTACGTTACGTGTGAGGCGGAAGCACATTACTGAAAGGAAGATGCTGGGTTAATGGTGCACATTGTGAACTTAAGAGCATCCACTAGAAAAATAAAGATTTGGCTAAAAGCCAATAGCTTTGATAAAATAGAATATAAAAAAGTATTCAGGGGCTTCCCTGGTGGCGCAGTGGTTGAGAGTCCGCCTGCTGATGCAGGGGACACGGGTTCGTGCCCCGGTCCCGGAAGATCCCACATGCCGCGGAGCGGCTGGGCCCGTGAGCCATGGCCGCCGAGCCTGCGCGTCCAGAGCCCGTGCTCCGCAACGGGAGAGGCCACAACAGTGAGAGGCCCACGTAGTGCAAAAAAAAAAAAAAAAAACGTATTCAGTCCAAAAGAAAGCAGGAAAAGAGAAAAGGAAGATGGCAGCAAGATGGCAGCCTTGAGCATAACCTTTTCGATAATTATGTGTAAATGGACAAGGTAAAGTATAAGGGAAAGGTAGGGGTTATCAGACTAAATGACCTCCTGTTGTCTACAGGAAAAACCCTTTTCATTAAAAATAAAAGAATGGGACATTGTGATGCAAGCCCCAGTCATAAAGCTGAAGTGGCTGAATTACTATCAGACAAAGCAGACTTCAGGTCTACTACCTGAATATTCCCAGAGAGGAAGAACTTTATATCATAACAAGAAAGGGATCTGTTCAAAACAACATTATCTAAAATATGCATGACGCGGAGTCTGATGGGAGAAAGATAAATCTGTGAGGACAGGAGTTTTTAACACTCCTCATAGTAGTGTATGAAGCAGATAGAAAGTCAGTAACGTTGTAGAATGTTTAAGTTATGCTGTCAAACAGTACAGCCCAGCTGACATGCAGAGCACTGTGCTGAACAGCTGCAGGACACCCGTTCTTGTAAGGCACGTGGAACATTCACCAGACATGCTCTGCATTATGAGAGTATTAGGCCAAGCACTGCCCTATTGCAAATAATGAGAAAAGTAGACTTAATTCCTCATGAGCCTAGACACAGACACCTTACTAAAATTGTAGCAAGTCCTTAATACAGTCAGTTCTACTGTAACACAATATATGTGTGTTCCTAAAAAATCACCATGCAGGGAAAATAGGGACACGACACTCAAAACCTTCCTCAGTGACGTGTTAGGAACATAGTAAAAATGATCTCAGCTTCACATGTTAAATGGTTAAGAAATCAAAATTACTACACCAAATAAGCCACTGAACTGAAGTTTGTGAAAGGGGACATCAGGATGGTTGCAGCCTGTGTGTTATTGTGAGGTTGTGGAAGGAGGGCTATCTGAGGATGGGTGGACAGTTGGGACACTGGAGGTAAGTGGCTGTGGCTTGTAATACGCCAGCTGGTAGCTGCGGTGTATGCCTTGGGAGGAGTGTTCCTTTGTGGCTTGATTCTGCTGGGTAGACCTAGTTTCTCACCAGTGAAATCACACGTAAGTAAATGCAGCGTTTGTATTATGCTGAAATTGTTACATAATATATCAGTTGTGTTGGAACAAATTGTCACTTTTCAAAGCAAGTGTCATGGCAGGACTGACTGTGCATCCTAAATGAATGGGGTTGGTCACAGGAATGTGTGGTTTAACACTGGAAATCAATCACTTGGGTCCTAAAGGGGAAATACGTATAGTTAGCATTACTTTCACTCATGAAAAACTGAGAGAAAGAAGTAAAATCTCCTTAATGGCAAATAACATGATTTGTGTATGTTAAAATCGTAAGAAAATACAAAGCTGCTAGATCTAATAGGTGAAGTTTAGCAAGATTGCAGGTTCCGGTCAGTATACAAAAATCAACTTTATTTCTATAATTACCAGCAAGTAATTTAAAAATGAACTTAGAAATACAATATCAAAAACAATTACAATGATAAAATCTTTTTTAAAAGTAGTACCATTTATAGTAATATAAAAGGTACATACTGCTTAGGGATAATATAACAAAATGTGGGGACTTCCCTGGCAGTCCAGTGGTTAAGAATCTGCTTTCCAATGCAGGGGACGCGGGTTCAATCCCTGGTTGGGGAACTAAGATCCCACATGCCGCGGGGCAGCTAAGCCCGCGTGCTACAACTACTGAGCACTCGGACCACAACAAAAAGATTCTGCATGCCACAACTAAGACCCGGAGCAGCCAAAAATAAAAATAAATATATTTTTTGAAGTATTAAACTTAAAAAAAATTTTTTAACAAAATGTGTGCAAGACCAACACTGAAAACTTCAAAACACAGCTGAAAAAACCAAAGGAAAGCTGACTGGGTTGCGAGACCTCACCCACTCGTGGAGTGGGGCTCTTCAGATGTCCTGCCTCCCCAGATTGACCCATAGAGTCAATTAAATCCCTGTCAAAATCACAGCAGACTTTTGAAAAACAGGAATTAGTGATCTGATTCTAAAGTGCAAATGTAAATGCAGAGGGCCTAGAATATGACAGAACAATCTGATTTCCAACAAAATTCACAGCAGTGTGTAAGGTAGGCATAGAGATCAACTGCATAAAATAACAGCCCAGACCGCATGTATATGGTCAGCTGATTTTTGACTAAAGTGCCAAGGTAATTCAGCATGGGAAAAGATTAATGTTTTTACAAATAGTGCTGTAGCAATTGCTTGATTGTTTGGGAAAAAAGTGAACTCTAGCCCCTCCTTTACACTGAACATCAACAATAAACTCAGGATGGATTGTTGACCTAGTTGGAAAGCTATAAAAAGTCTAGGAGAAAATTGCTTTAAAAATGTTTATGACTTTGGAGCACGCAGATTGCTTAGGACACGAAGAGCACTAGTCACAAAATAAAATAATACGTTGTGCTTCACTCAAGATTTGCCTTCTTCAAAAGGCACCAGTAAGAAGATAGGCCATAAACTGAGAAAGTGTTCATATCGTAGTATATGCGACACAGGACTTACATCTAGAATATAAAAGTTTTCACAGGCTTAGTAAGAAGACAAATGACCCAATTACAAAAAGGGTCAAAAGATTTGAAGAGACATTTCACGGGAGGTAAACAGATGGGTGGTAGACACACGATGACGTCCTCTTCAGTCATCAGGGAAACACATGAAAACCACCATGGGGTAGCCCCGCATACCCGCCAGACTGGCTGAAGTGCTACAGGCAGGCAGTGCAAGTGTTAGCAGTGGAGCAGCTGGTGAGAAGGCAAAGTGTGCCCTTTCTTCACAGTTACATGCGCACCCTGTGACTCAGCGGTCCCCTCCTAGGCGCACCCGAGAGAAGTGATAGCACGTCGCAGACTGTGTGTGAATTCTCAAAGCCAGTTTTCTGGACATAGCTCGGGTGTCTGTCCAGCAGCAGGTTGTGTTGTATCCACACGACAGAACATTGCTTGGCAGTGCAGAGAAACAGGCTACCGGTAGGGGCGACAGCACCGACCAACCTCAGAGGCTAAGTAATTGTATGCTGAGCCAAAGCTGCCAGACGCAGCGGAGAGGGCCTGCTGTTTGTTTCGTGTTAACATTTTTGGATGGTGATGGATTTACACTGGTCCACACCTTCATTCGCGTTTTGTTTCCCCCATCTGAAGGCACCTATTTGGGACACTCCAAGCTGGGATAGAGATACTAGTGAAAGTATTAGAACAGAGCAAAGCTAGGTGTGCTCAGAGAGTCAGCCCAAGGGTGGCATCATGTTCTGAGTTAATAAGCAGATTATTTGTAGATGTTACCCAAAAGCTCTTCCAAGTGAAATAAATCACTTATCATAATTTAGAATCAGCCATCTCCACTCAGACACCTTTGCTTTGCTATCTTCTGGCCTTGGTCCCTTTTCAGCTGTATTAGTCATAGCTCTCACCATTCAGTCGGTGACAGAGTGGCTTTGCCTGGCATCTTCCCCTGTTGGACTGCCAGACTCCATGGGAGCAGGGACTCACCCAACCTGTTGTCTGCTGTGTCCCTGCACCTACACCTGTGCCTGGCACTCGGGGAGAGGACTTGGCACGTCCTGGCAAAGTCCCCTGCAAGTGTAGTGAACGTGTAAAAGGGCGTTGCTGGACACTTTATTAAAAGGACAACTTGCTGGGATAGTGTGTATTAGGTCATATCCTTGCTCTCTTATATTTGGACATGTTCAAAATGTAATTCTGTTTTTGTCCTTTTAATGTTCCTTTTCATCTATGAAAATGGCAGTCTAGTTAAAGTGCAGTTCTAATTGTGTATGTCTACAAATTTCAGATTCAGTCTTCTGTTCTTGATTTTCCCAGAGGTAATTTTTAAATCAGATGTATGCTCCTTCCACAGGCTGAGCAGGCACTTAGCAGAGGGGGGTCGCACCGAGGTGCCCAGGGGACGGTTGGACCAATACATGCAGACTTAAGCCTTAGATGATGACCTCCAGCAAAGTGTTGGAATCTGTTCATGCTTCCTTGGAATAGGAATTTTTAATTTTTTTAATAGGAATTTTAATAGGAATTTTTAATTTTAATTTTTGGTATTTTGCATCTTCTTTGAAGTTAAACTTCAAATATTCAGAATACGTGATACACAGTGGTTTAAGTGGAATTTTTAACTCGTTAAGTGCTGGAGTGGCTATGCGCTGCCCGAATTGGTCGCGTTACGCTCAGCAAAGTGAGCAGGAAGTTGCCTGACATATGGTGGTTGCCAGCGGTGGGATGTGGGGCTGTGAGTGAAGCAGGAAGAGGGCAGGGGGCCTGCTCCTGCCTTGGTGTCACAGGGGAGATGGCAGACTGGTTGTGCGCAAGGGTTAGCTGTCCATCCGTCCTCCGTGCCCTGATGCCACAGCTTGGGAAGCTGGGTGTTGTTGACGTGTGTGTGTGTTCAGTTCTCTGAAACGTGATGAGTTTAAGGGTTAGCGGAGCCCATACCTGAAAATCTACTGTGCATTCCTTTTCTCAAAAAAAAAAACCCACCTCAAGTCCATTCCACATATTTGGGAAGAGGTCACATTGTGTTTATGATCTTAACGGATTCTGGAGCCTCACAGACCTGGATTCCAATTGAGGCCTTGCTCTGGACAGCACTCTGAGCACACAGGCTACTGACCTTGGAGCCCCTATTCCCCCATCAGTGGGACCGGGAGGGTTGTGCCATTTTCACAGTCGTCACATGGGATGCAGAGACGGATGTTTGTGAGGCACTCAGTCCAGGGCCGGGCCTCACGTAAACGCTCAACAGATTTGACTGTGTCACACATACAACGTCATGACATCAATTTCCTTTTTGTTTCAAGGTGAATCGGGTCTCGGAAAATCAACTCTCATAAATAGCCTCTTCCTGACTGACCTCTACCCAGAAAGAGTCATACCTGGAGCCGCAGGTACAGAAGTTTCCACGCTGCACTACATGAAAGCTGCTACAGAGTGCATAATTAGTATTTTGTGCCTTAGCTTTGTGTTTTATTTGTTTTTGTTTGGCTCTAGACACAAGGAGAACGTCAGTCAGGTAGGGAAAGGTGTGCCGTACCTGACGTCCTTGGATCTCGATTATACACACTCAGACCATGTACCATGGTCCATCTTCTCCAAGCTTGTTTTCTTTGTCTACAAAGTGTAATAGTTCCTGCCTATGTTGTATGTTTGATGGGAGGATCAGTGTTCTCATGAAAAAACCGGCATACACAGATTTCTGTGGGCATAGGTGTCATCGGACCTCTTCCCCTAAGTGTTAGCGTCCAGCATTGGACACTGGGCTTCGTGAGGCTGTTGAGTGAATGAACTGTGCATACATCAGTCTGGGACTTGGGCCACCACAACACGACTGCAGCCCTTGGACAGTTTTTAAATGAATTCATTAATTGTTCTTTTTGTCCCGGGAATCAGAAATTATAATTTTCAACTCCCAAGCAGCCCTTTAATCTTAGCTGTGATGTTTCCTTTGCTGACCCTGGGTCGTTTTTACACAGTCCTCATGTTACCTTCTGAGAACTGTCCTTAAAGAGAGATAGTGAACTTCTGAGTCATTTGTTTAATAAAAAGAAAGTAACAGGTAATTTCTCATTTTTGCAAACTGGCTCTATTTTAAGGTACGTTCTCTTATTAAGTTTGCTTCTTCTTTTTCTTAGAGAAAATTGAAAGAACTGTCCAAATTGAGGCATCAACTGTTGAGATTGAAGAGCGAGGGGTCAAGCTGCGGCTGACCGTGGTGGACACACCAGGCTACGGGGACGCCATCAACTGCAGGGATTGGTACGTGCCCCAGAGCCCCGCCAGTGACGAAGCCGTGTGCCTGCTTACGTTTGTTTCTGCATATTTCAGTCTGTAATGTTGATGACTGATTGCTGGGTTTGGAGTAGCTGTGTATAATAAAACAATGAGACAATTTAAATCATTTTAATTACGGCATTTTAAATGAGGAATTTCACAGGGAATGAGTATTTTTGTCTGTAAGAGCGTTCTAGTGAGATCTGATATCACAAAGCCAACCATACAGCAAATGCTAGAATAAATAAAGCACCTTGATTTGGACCATGGCCATTGGACAAGATATGGTAGTATAGCTTTTCTCTTTTCCATATTCAAGAAGATGAAATCTCTTAAGAGACTTGCTCCAGAGCTAGTGTCTGTAACTGGCTGCTTGTTGCACCATTTGCACAAGTAAAGAAATCCAGAAGTAGAATGTAAGAGCAGTCTGTACCCTGTACCTTGCAGAGAATCCGCCTTCGTTGTACAGACTCCCCTGGTTCTAATCCCCGTAAGCATAAAGCACCAACTTTCCAGCACTGATGAGAAGAGGGAAGGAAGGAGGAGAGGGCTCTCTTGCGTCTTTCTCCTTCACCGGGGGTTTCTCCCTTCCTTTCGCAGGCACCCCTTAGCTCCCGTGTTCTGCTCCCACTCTGCCCCGACTGTCTTCAGTCAGTCAGCTCAGCCTCTTTGTAACCTATCCCATCCCGGCTTTTGACCTTCAGCACTTACGGAAATGATCCTTAGCACAGTTTCCGAAAGCCTCCATCTTGCCAAACCTAGGAGTCGGTTTTCTGTCCCCATCTTACAGTTGAATTATTAAATCACACCTGCTGGAGAGGCAGGGGATAGAACAGCGCATTTTGCCTTTGAAGTTTGGGACAGCTGCCTCTTGTATCCCGTGATTACTCGTGTTTGTGTTTCTCTCAGCTTTAAGACAATCATCTCCTACATCGATGAGCAGTTTGAACGGTACCTGCATGATGAGAGCGGTCTGAACAGACGGCACATCATCGATAACAGGGTGCACTGTTGCTTTTACTTTATTTCCCCCTTCGGACACGGGTAAGTAAGCATTTACCATGGAAACCTGGTGTGTAGATTAAGATTTCGTGTTTACTCTGTGGGTTTCCAACTTTCCTCCAAACTGCATATTTTATTATAAGAATTGGGGTAATTTTGAGAGAAAAAAGTTCAGTGTGATCTCCTTATTCTTCCCTTAAACATGACTTTTAGACTTAAGCCCTTGGATGTTGCGTTTATGAAGGCGATACACAACAAGGTGAACATTGTGCCTGTCATCGCGAAAGCCGACACGCTCACGCTGAAGGAGCGGGAGCGCCTGAAGAAGAGGGTGCGTGCTGGGCTCCCCGGGCCGGGGTGGGGGCAGGTGGGGGCGGGGCGGGGGGTTCGGACAGTCCCTGCCTGGCTGGCACAGAGCGGGCCTTGCTGATGTCCGTGCTGTCAGCGTCGGTGCGCCTCTGTCGTCTCACAACTGTGTAAGTCAGACGAATTCTTAGAAAGGGACTGAGGTGCGTTTATGTTTTTGAAGGAGGGCTGCGTTTCCCTCAAAACAGGTTTGTAGCCGTTTGCAGCCCCCAAAGCAGAGTGTGAGCTTTTGCTCCTCTGCGGCCCTGGAGCAGCTCTGGATGTGCTCCCGGCGTGTTTAGGGTCCTTCCTGAGAGACGGGAAACGGCACCTCATTGCAGTTTGCGTCTGCCTGGTTGCTGGTGCGAGTTTCTGTCACGGTGCTTGAAGCCCGTTGCCGTGTTCTCTGGGGTTTTAGAGCTTGCTGCTCTTCACTGCATTTTTATTGACTCACAGATACTCGTGTATTTTTAGGCATTGACTGTCGCGCTGCAGATTACTTCACCTAGTTGGACTTTTGTGTTACCTCATGTCTCTCTTGAATCTTCTGCTGTAAGCGGAGCTTTAAACTAATACGGACTTGTGTTTGTCAGCCCTTTCCTTTATTGTCTCACGTGTCTGCCAGTGTTTTAGGAAGTATACAGGCCCTTGGAAGAGTTCCTGAAAGCTTAGGCGTTTCTATGCTTGACAATAAGTGTCTTGGCAATTTACACTTAAGGGAACTTCACCTTTTATAGGATGTTACATTAAATTTCGGACAGGTAGGAGGGGCAGCTGTCAGGGTTAGGAGGCTTTATACCCATCTCTGATCCTGTGTCCAAAATTCTTCAGGCTCGATTTCAAAGGCTGAAAGGAATTGAAATCGTGGGCCTTGGCAGTCCCTCTCCTTATCCGGTTTCTTCCTTGTACCTGTGGGTGTGCTCCTCCTTCACAGTCTAAGAACATCTGCCCATCTCCCTGTCTCTCAGAACGGCCCCGTAGCTCTGCAGTCGCCCACAGTGAGGAGGTGTGATTATTTTTGATCCATCACTTTCTTGCTGCGGAGTGGGGAGCAGGCAGGGCAGGGTCACGCTCACCGCTCAGCTTCTCCATCTCGTTGGGGAACAAGCAGTTAGGAACAGACTAGGGCCAGCTTGTGAGGGGGAGAGGGTGCGGGGAGGAGGGCCTTCTCTTAAACCCCAACTTAGTGCGGACAGGGGGTTCGTCCAAGATCTTTGACCACGCAGGGCCCTTCAGGTCACATTAAGGAGGAGAAAACTGGGGAGCAGGTTTGAAGTAGGGGTGCTTCCTGCTTACTTGCTTGTGCTCTCCCTTCCCTGGGTGGTCCAGACTCTGGCGTGAGAGTAGAAGCAGAGCCCCAACCTCGTGTCTGATGGAGCACCGACACTGGGGGCTTGGGGCTGCTGCTTAGACACTGGGGCTGGTGGTGAGTGCCTGCTTACCTCAACTCCAGCCCAGTTTCCCTTTCCCTCTAGGCTACTCTACTACTTGGTTGATAGTTCAGACTGTGAGATTACACTGCTGACCACTTGTTTCCTGTTGAATAAAATCCACACCCCTAGGTCCCTCACCTGGTGGCATTCAGGGAACTGTCCACCTCAGTTGTTTCTTTGTCCTGTCCAACTGGATGTCTTAACCTTCCAGCCATTCTGGATTTCTTGTAATTCCCAAGACACAACCCTTGTGTCCTCCCCTCCATGCCTTTGAGGAGATGTTCCCTCTGGGCGCATCTCCCTTCTCTACCTGCAGGACTCCTTCCGGAGGCTGGTTGTGGTGTGGTCTGCTTTTACCTGCTGTACTGGGACTGTCGTTAGTCTGCTGCTTTGTGCAGTGAAGGTGGTGATACGTTGTTGTTGTTACTCTGGACAGAGGGTCCCTCAGTGCAAGCATGAATACCTTTTTAGCAGTTTGTAAAATCATTTGAAAATGATTTTAATCAATAGGATTATTGACATTTGGATAATTCCGACATACTTCTAATATGATGCATTAGACTTGACTGAAATAGTATGCAGTTTCCTACAGTTGCTCCTGGTTTGGTGTTTCTTTCAGATTCTGGATGAAATTGAAGAACATAACATCAAAATCTATCACTTACCTGATGCAGAGTCAGATGAAGATGAAGATTTTAAGGAGCAGACTAGACTTCTCAAGGTAGGAGCTTTGTCTCCAAGTACACAGTGTAACTAACTCCTTTTTCCCGTAGTCAGTGCATTTAAAATGGAAAGAGCTGGCAAAGCACACAGTCTTAGAAGGCTTGGCCTCTGAGGTTGCCAGGTAGATTTGGTCACAGTGGTAGTTCTGCTCTAAAGATATTCTGGCATAGCTGTTACCTGAGGCTTAGAAATCTTACTGCAGGTTTAGTTTGATTTCCTACAGTTTGTCCCATGTGGGAAAGAACTGCCACTTGCAAGTAAAATATGTGTGCCGTTGGTTTTCCCAGTGAGCCTCGTAGTTGGCAGCAGCGTGCTCATTCTGAGCTGACGTTCCTGCGTCTGCAGTGAAAGTTGGGGTTCCCTGCGTGGAGCCAGTCTGCCCCGTGTGTCTCTTTCTAGGCCAGTATCCCATTCTCTGTGGTTGGATCCAATCAGCTGATTGAAGCCAAAGGCAAGAAAGTCAGAGGCCGCCTCTACCCGTGGGGCGTAGTGGAGGTGGAGAACCCAGAGCACAACGACTTCCTGAAACTGAGGACGATGCTCATGTAAGACGCGTGTGCGTTCCCACCGGCTTGGAGAGCAGAGCTTTCGCGTGGGGGGTGTGCGTGGGGCCTGCGAGCCACACCGGCTCCGTTGTGCTCCTGCAGCAGGGCTATCCCGGCTTGATGCAGAAGGCCCTCCGCTCTCTGGGACTGTAGCAGACTAGCCTCTTCCACCTGGGGCCTGTAGCTTAATACACTCTCCTTCCTAATCTCAAAGACCTTTTTGATGCTAAAAGTAGACTAGACCTCACCTGTGGTGTGGCTGCACCACGCACAGGACACCTCTTGCTCTGGTGAGGAAATGGACAGCTTCGCTGCTTGGGACCCTGAGAGCCTTCTCCAGCCACTGCTGAAGTGCAGCGTGCCCATCAGCCCTCAGGCTCTCACACGAGGTGGCCCCGGTTAGCCTTGAGGCTCTCCAGTCGGTTTTTAGCAGCTAGAACAGACCTGACTACAAAAACAGACTTTTTTCCTCTAAAAATAAATTGTACATTTAGTAACAAACATGCATTGCTGTTGCCCTTGAATAAAGAGGCTAACAGAAAGAGTGTTGCTAAAATCTAACCCCTCTTTCATCAGAATTCTGAGATCAAAGAACGGCTGGTCCAGATAAATTTTGAAGAACTGAAAATTGCTCTACAGGCCTCGTAGGTCTCACTTGGTTTAGGAATCTTTGGTGAATTAAAATCACTAAAAATACCATTAAAGTTGGCATTCAAGTTATGTCAGATGTAATTCAGTCACCATGTCAGGTGTGAAAGTGCACCCAGGCCCTCCAGGGACAGGCCCTTGGTTGTCATGATCCTGTCTCAGAGCTGAGTGGTTAAGTATCTGAAAAAGCTGGGCCGAAGCTATGAGTGTTTTCCAAGATGATTAGAAGATGCAAAGTGCTGTTTCTGTCTTATCCAGAAGATAAGTACTTTGATTTATGGTTTTCTCCACAGGTGACACTAATAGGCTCTTTGTGACATACACGTTAAGCTTAAGGAGTCACAAATGTTTGAATTGCTTGTTTTTCGTAAGTTCTTTCAGAAAAGTGTGCTCTGTTTCAGACACTGTTTACCTAAACAATCTCCTAAAGCCTCTGTGCCTCTCCTTCTGTCCACTGTGGTGATCTCACTCAAGGGGTGGTGCTTGTGGCGGAGACCCTGTGGCCCAGCTGGGTGTGTCTGTGCGTCGTTTATCGTGGTAGCAAAGAGATGCGCCTCTGTAGATGTTTCCACAGCCTCATTCCCTTATCCCGAAATTCCAGCAACTTTGTGTACTGTTTACCAAGTAATCTGGGGTCTTAGTTCCTGGTGTGTGTTCTGTGTCCCTCATTGGGTGTTTTTTCCACGCGAATGGCATAGCCCTGGTGCATCCTTTTCTCTTTCAGCACTCACATGCAGGATCTCCAAGAGGTGACCCAGGACCTTCACTATGAAAACTTCCGATCCGAGAGACTCAAAAGAGGCGGCAGGTTGTTGCCCCAAGTCATGCTCTCCCCTCGGTCCATATTTGGTCACCTCGAGTCATGCTGTCCCCCTCTCCTCTGTGTGTCCAGCTCAGCCTTGACCACTAAGCATCACCATTTGGTTCCCTACTCAGAAGCGATTGGGAGATACTTGTTGCTAATTTAATCAAATCATGGGGTTGGGGTTTGTCTTTGTTTGGGGTGGGGTTTTTTTGTTGTGCCTGTTAAAAGGTATCTTTAACCGTTGCATATCAAGAACAGCTCTAGATGGAAAGGCCAAAGACTTGTGTTGGATCCTGTTTCAACACAAGGTCCTTCGTACATACGTATGAGGTACACTTTAGAGTCTGCTTTATGGTGTTACTGATTTGGGGACCAGATGTGAAGAAGGGATTTAGAGGCAGCGAGAACATCCCAGCCTGAGGAATACAGCCAGGTTGTGGTACCAAGGGAGTGGGCCCACGTGGAGCCGCGTCTTAAAGGGCTCAGAGGGCCTCCTGCGCCGGCTTCTCCACTTGGACACTCACATCCTGTTCCTTTTTTAAGTACGACTGTTGTAGTGTTTGTTCATAACTTATCTTAGAAGAGTATTCTTCAGATAATACCTACTGTTTTGGGGGTAAAGTCGAAAGTGCCACCCCCCAGCTTAGAGTAAGAAAGAGGTCTTGAATTTTCCATTTCGTATTCCATTTTTCATCGTTTTCTTTTCTTATTCATGTCGTTAATCAGAAAAATGATAAATTTATGCAATTTTCAATAGATATATTTCTCAGAAATATAAAGTGAAATATTACTTTGAGCATCTGTTGTCAGAAATGACCAACTATATTTGTCGTAATATTATAATTGTAGTTTCTTTCACCTCTTAGAAAAGTGGAAAATGAGGACATGAATAAAGACCAGATCTTGCTGGAAAAGGAAGCTGAAGTAAGTGGAAAAGTACTTTTTCTGTTTTTGAGTCTACTGTTTAGTGAATACCTAAAAATATTATTTGTAGTTCATATAGTTTTTTTTCTTGTTTTTTTTGAAAAGGAACATGTTATATATAACTAATCTGTTATATATATATGCACATGATAATATGTATATATATACATAAGTGTATAAATTGGTTTACATATATTATTTAATACCCAACAGCAATAACCCAATAGTGGGAAAAGTTGGAAATAGTGAGAATTCAGTAACATGACTGGTTTTTGTAAGATGTTTAAAAATCAGCAGTTTTCCCATATATAGACAATGAAAATATAATGAAAGAAGCTCATTCAGCATCATTAATAAAAACGAAAGAAATACGTAGTAGGGCTTATATAGGGGAATAAACTAGAAAAAGCTCTACTGAAAACGGCTTTCAAAATTTGAATAGACACAAAGCTTTGTAGGTAGGATGCTCAGTGTGAGGATCACAGCTGTCTCTAACTCAGTTCCCACAGAGTTGTGTGTTTGCTGAGTTCTTCGTTTTAGCGAGAACTTGAAGTAATTCCATTTGTCTTGAAGGCTAAGCGTTGGGAAACACAGGAAGCTCTATAAAAAGCAGACTAACGAAAAGAGGCTTGCTTTACTGGTTACGGAAGCATCAAACGGTGGTCGTCCAGAGTTTGGTACAGGCGGGTTAGGCTGATTAAATGCAGGTCGGGGCTTCCCTGGTGGCGCAGTGGTTGAGAATCTGCCTGCCAGCGCAGGGAACATGGGTTTGAGCCCTGGTCTGGGAAGATCCCACATGCCGCGGAGCAACTAAACCCGTGCGCCACAACTACCGAGCCTGTGCTCCAGAGCTCGCGAGCCACAACTACTGAGCCCGTGTGCCACAACTACTGAAGCCCATGCGCCTAGAGCCCGTGCTCTGCAACAAGAGAAGCCACCACAGTGAGAAGCCCGAGCACCACAACGAAGACCCCCTTGTGCAGCCAAATATAAAGAAAATAAATAAATTTTTAAAAATTAATAATAAGTAAATGCAGGTCTGGGAATAGATCAGAAGTATGGAAATGTGCTCTGAGGTAAAGGTGGTGCTGAGACCTGTTAAAGTGGTGGAATTGAGGCATGTTGAGTAAATAATAAGAAAACAGGCCAGCCTTTTGGAAACAAAAATAAAACACTTGGGCCAAATTAATTCACTGTGGATCAAATATTTAAATGTTAAAAACATAATCACAAAAGTTACCTGAAGAAAATTGAGGTAAATCTTTTACAACACTTGCCTAGAGGCCTTTCTAAACGGAGAGAAACCATAGTGATAAAAAGTGATGGGGTGAGACCTTCAAGATGGCAGAGGAGTAAGACGTGGAGATCACCTTCCTCCCCACAAATACATCAGAAATACATCTACATGTGGAAGAACAACTCCTACAGAACACCTACTGAACGCTGTCAGAAGACCTCAGACTTCGCAAAAGCAGTGAGGCTGACAGGTCTCTGTGCTCTGGCCGGGTGTCAGGCCTGTGCCTCTGAGGTGGGAGAGTTGAGTTCAGGACGTTGGTCCACCAGAAACCTCCCGGCTCCACGTGATATCAGACAGCAAAAGCTCTCCCAGAGATCTCCATCTCAACATTAAGACCCAGCTCCACTCAACGACCAGCAAGCTGCAGTGCTGGGACGCCCCATGCCAAACAACTAGCAAGACAGGAACACAACCCCACCCATTAGCAGAGAAGCTGCCTAAAATCACAGTAAGTCCACAGACACCCCAAAACACACCACTGGACGCGGTCCTGCCCACCAGAAAGAAAAGATCCAGCCTCATCCACCAGAACACAGGCACTAGTCCCCTCCACCAGGAAGCCTACACAACCCACTGAACCAGCCTTACCCGCTGGGGGCAGACACCAAAAACAACAGGAACTGCGAACCTGCAGCCTGCGAAACGGAGACCCCAAACACAGTAAGTTAAGCAAAATGAGAAGACAGAGAAACACAGCATATGAAGGAGCAAGGTAAAAACCCACCACACCTAACAAATGAAGAGGAAATAGGCAGTCTATCTGAAAAAGAATTCAGAGTAATGATAGTAAAGATGATCCAAAATCTTGGAAGTAGAATGGAGAAAATACAAGAAACGTTTAATGAGGGCCTAGGAGAACTAAACAGCAAACAAACAATGACGAACAACACAAGAAATGAAATTAAAAATTCTCTACAAGGAATCAGTAGCAGAATAACTGAGGCAGAAAAATGGATAAGTGACTTGGAAGAGAAAATAGTGAAAATAACTACTGCAGAGTAAAGAAAAAGAAATGAGAAGAATTGAGGACAGTCTCAGAGACCTCTGGGACATTAAACGCACCAACATTCGAATTATACGGGTCCCAGAAGAAGAGGAGAAAAAGAAAGGGACTGAGAAAATATTTGAAGAGATATTGAAAAACTTCCCTAATATGGGAAAGGAAATAGTCAAGTCCAGGAAGCACAGAGAGTCCCATACAGGATAAATCCAAGGAGAAACATGCTAAGACACATATTAGTCAAACTATCAAAAATTAAATGCAAAGAAAAAAATATTAAAAGCAGCAAGGGAAAAACAACAAATAACATACAAGGGAATCCCCATAAGGTTAACAGCAGATCATTCAGCAGAAACTCTGCAAGCCAGAAGGGAGTGACAAGACGTGCTGAAAGTGATGAAAGGGAAAAACCTACAACCAAGATTACCCAGCAAGGATCTCATTCAGATTCGACAGAGAAATTAAACCCTTTACTGACAAGCAAAAGCTAAGAGAGTTCACCACCAAACCAGCTTTACAACAAATGCTAAAGGAACTTCTCTAGGCAGGAAACACAAGAGAAGGAAAAGACGTACAATAACAAACCCAAAACAATTAGGAAAATGATAATAGGAACAGACATATCGATAATTACCTTAAATGTCAATGGATGAAATGCTCCTACCAGAAGACATAGACTGGCTGAATGGATACAAAAACAAGATCCGTATATATGTTGTCTACAAGAGACCCACTTCAGACCTAGGGACACATACAGACTGAAAGTGAAGGGATGGAAAAAGATATTCCATGCAAATGGAAATCAAAAGAAATCTGGAGTAGTAATTCTCATCTATTTACAATAGCCAGGACATGAAAGCAACCTAAGTGTCCGTCGACAGATGAATGGATAAAGAAGATGTGGCACATATATACAATGGAATATTACTCAGCCATAAAAAAAAACCGAAATGGAGTTATTTGTAGTGAGGTGGACGGACCTAGAGTCTGTCATACAGAGTGAAGTCAGAAAGAGAAAAACAAATACCATATGCCAACACATATATATGGAATCTAAAAAAAAAAAATGGTTATGAAGAACCTAGGGGCAGGACAGGAATAAAGACACAGACCTACTAGAGAATGGACTTGAGAACATGGGGAGGGGGAAAGGTAAGCTGGGACAAAGTGTAGGAGCGGCATGTACATATATGCCTTAACAAATGTAAAACCGATAGCTAGTGGGAAGCAGACGCGTAGCGCAGAGAGATCAGCTTGGTGCTTTGTTGTAACACCTAGAGGGGTGGGATAGGGAGGGTGGGAGGGAGATACAAGAGGGTGGGGATATGGGGATATGTATATGCAGAGCTGATTCACTTTGTTGTAAAGCAGAAACTAACATACCATTGTAAAGCAATTACACTCCAATAAAGATGTTTAAAAAAGATATTTCTTTTTTAAAAATAAAATAAAATAGAATAAATGAATAAATAAATAAATAAATAAAATAGAATAAATGAAACAAATTTTTTTTAAAAAGTGATGGGGATGCAGGAGGGTGAAGATTCACCATTTGAATCACCCAAAGTAGCTGGGCCCGTCACTCCCCTTTAGTGCACATTCCCCACTGGGTAGTGGCAACTCCTTCCTACCTTTTTAGATCAAAAACTGTCTCATGTTGTCTTTCTTATTTCTTCTGTTTCTTGATAATTTTTATTTTTTATTTGAATTGTCTATTATTATCGTTTGCTCAGTTTTCTGTTGAGCCATTGGTCCTTTTACTGGTTTGTAAGAGTTTTTTGTATGTTAACTCATGGTCATGTTTTGGGAGAGCACAGACGTTGAAGTACTAGCAATCACAGGACCCCCGTAAAGCCTGCTTGGGGACAGCAGAGCCCGAGAACCAACGGTGTGTCCATCTTGTGTCCGCAGCTCCGCCGTATGCAGGAGATGATTGCCCGGATGCAGGCGCAGATGCAGCTGCAGATGCAGGGTGGGGATGGCGACAGCGCGGTCCACGGGCACCACGTGTGAGGTAACGACCAGGCCTGGAGAGCAGGCACGTGTCCACCCGAAAGGATAGAGGTTGCCCCTCAAAACGGAAGCTGCTCCACGCTTCCTGTTTCGTAAAGGGTTCTCGTGTTTTCTAAGCTTATAAGTGTGAGTAACAATTGTAATGGAAAAACTATTTCCCCTTCCTATGTAGGGAAAAACACTGTTCTTCCCTGCTGTGTGCTCGTTTCTTGTATGTCTCCTTCCACGCAGAGTGCCCTCACTCCCGGTGACCAAACGTGTGGAGGTTCCCCTGCGCCGAGCAGTGCTCCACAACACCAGCTGGGGGTCCTGCAGTCTCAGTTCTGACACCATCTACCTGGAGATGCTGTCAGACCCCACAGGTCGAGGGCTCAGTCCCACAATTTAGATGCCAGTCCAAAATCCAGGTTGTCACCAGTGCTTCTGACTGACCGCCTAGAGATCAGAGGTGCCCACCCCACCGTGGGTTCAGTAATTTGCTAGAGCGGCTCACAGAACTCAGAGAAACGTTTTGCTTACTAGGTCACATTTATTAAAGGATATAATAAAGAACAGATGTGAATAGCCAGATGCAGAAACCCACAGGGCGAGTGAGGTCCGAGAGAGTCCCTAGTGCAGGAGCCTCTGTCCCTGAGGAGTTTGGGTGTATCACCTTCCCGGTTTGGATGGATTCACCAACCCAGAAGCTCTCCAGACCCTTGCTTTGGGGATTTTAAAGGAGGCTTCCTCGAATAGGTATGATCAGTCATTAACTCCATTTCCTGCTTCTCTCCCCTTTCTGGAGGGTGGGGGACAGGGCTGGAAATGACAAGCTTCTCATCATGGCTTGGTCTTTCTGGTGACCAACCCACAGAGTTCCCTTATTAGCACAAAATCAGGGAAGGTAGATGGGTTTCAGGAGCCCTGTGTCAGGAACAGAGGTCAAGGACCAAGTATCAGGACAAGAGGTGCACCTGGTGCTCTGACCACTTAGCAAATGAAAGGGTTTTAGGGGCTGTGTGCCAGGGCTGGGGGCAGAGACCAGGATCTATTTTTATTGTCTCACAGCAGTAGAAGAAAACTGTATATTAAAGTAGCTTTTATTGGTCGTACAGTTTGAAATTTATTAAAGCTGAAAACATCTCTTCAAAGTGTTACTGGAACAGCTTAGGCCAACTAAAAGTAGAGATGGGGTCAAGGGAGGGAGAAGTATGCCAGGCAGGCCAGGGTGACCTTGCTGCTCCTCACCACAGCTCTGCTCCAGCCGCTGGGGAGCAGTGGCTCGTGTGGCTGTGTGGCCGGGTGTATGCTGGCCTCCCTGCTTGAAGGGAGACTAGGAAAAGGCAAATGTCCGCTCCCCTGTACCCTGTGGACAGGGGGACACTCAGAGCTGTCCAGTGGCTGCTTCCATACCTCCAAGAGGAAGGAGGGAGAGGTGAAGTCACATGAGGACCAGAGAATGAAGAGTTACATGGGTGGGGGCGGAGGCAAGCCTGCTCCGTGGAAGAGCGGAGTGGGGCCAGTCGGAGTTCGAGCTGGCACAGAGCTGGGATATGGACCTGATTGTAGGGCATGGGAGCGTCGATGCAGTCCCTCAGGAGGCGATGGGACGGCCTGAGTGACTGCAGGCTGAGCTGACACATTGCAGGACCAATGAGATGGGAGGTAAGGGGCCCGGAGGTCGGGCACCTGTCAGAAGTCTTCCACAACACGGACAGGTGATGAAGGACGTGGGGCGGGGCGGGCAGGCTGGGGGCATTGGTCACCAAAACAAAGCCCCTGCCCCTTTGCAGCTTATTGGGAAAGGTTTTAGTTGTGAAATACATGCACAGAAAGACACAGATACACATGTACAGTGTAACCAGTTGCTTTTAAAGGGAGCATCCAGAGAACCCCACCTGGGTCAGAGTTGGTTGCTTTTCTTTCGTCATCACGTTGAAACCTTAGGAAGGTCCTGAGGGCACGTGCTGAGTTCGCACTTGCCCAGTGAGGACATGGACGCATGTGCTGAGTTTGCACTTGCCCAGTGAGGACGTGGACGCTGTGCAAGGGTTTAAAATTACCTGCCTGTGGTCACGTCACTTGTCAACTGATGGACCTCCTGGCCGCACAGGGCAGTCCTGCCTGGGCAGGTTTGCTGCCTGATGGGAAATGATGGCAGAGAAACGGACTCCTGAGGGGTGGGGCTCATTTGAGGCAGGAGGGAGCAATAGATGTTAGCTCACTCTCTGATCTTGCTGCTTCTCTTTAAAACTTTATGGAATTACGAGATTTCTACTTTTGATACATAAAATTAATCTGCATTTCTGTATACTTTTCAGTTTTGCAGTACTCCTGATTTCCAAGAGCTTCATAAGTGACGTTTTGATTTTAGTCAACTCTGTGGTCCTCAGAACCCACCTTCTGCTCAGTTTGTGCCGTTTGTTGTTACACAGGAAAATAATGCTACCAGTGGTCCAAGCAGCAGGCAGTGCATCACTCCCATTTAAATGTGTTGTGTTTTGTTTTTCCAGAAAACACTTTGCAAGATAACATTCTGACAAGTAACACAGCTGCGTGTTTTCAAGACTGTTGGAGGGGTGCCTATCCACATTTTACAGTACCTGTGCCTGAGAATTTAATTTTTTAAAAACTTTTGATGTGTTATTTTGTATGAAGTACTTTAACATTTATATTTCATTATGTTATACTTTACATTTTGTGAGGTTAACTTTCCATTTCCATTTTTTGTCCACCTTAACTGACCACTAATGTTAGAATTGATTCCCAGGGACCAGTCAGCATGTATAGTTAATAGTTGAATTTGATTTGGCTGGCCTAACCGACTAATCATGATTTATTTCTAGAACATTCAGATTTCCCAGAATGTTCCTGAGTAGCAGAGACATGGACCTAGTGACACAGAAAGATGAGAGCTGCCCTGGTACAAGGCCATTTCTCACCAAGTCATGGCACCTGGTTAGCTGTCTTGCTTTGTTTGAGCACAACACCTAAAACCAGTTCTGCTGCTATAACTCAATATACTGTTGGTCCATCTGCACATTTATCTGTTTACCAAACGAAACAGAATTACCCAGTGAGATACATGTTTATACTTAAATAGCTTTTTTAAAAACAGGCTTTTAGGGGTGAATTTTTTAACAAGTGTTTGGATTCTTGGGTCTATGCAGAGAACTCGCCACAAGCCACTTTCTGTAGAGTTTGCCGTGAAAAATCAAAGTATACATGAGCTGCAGTTTTCATGTTGCAACTAAGATTCTTACCTACACAATGAGAGTCAATAAACTATTTTTATTCGACTAAATTAAAAAATAACTTTTTAAGGAAAATTAACAGTTGGTCTGTGCAGAAACCAGCCTTTTTGTATTTTTATACTGCACTTTAATGTGTTTTCTCTAACTGCAGGTATAGGAGACGTGCCTCAGCAGCGAAAATAAGGGTCCTCGGGTGGGTAGCCCCGAGGCCTCAGCCCCGTGGGGCCCAAAATGCCTGCCAGGTTTTCCTGATTTGGCGTCCCTTTAACTGATGCTTTCCTGAATGGTTTTCAGGCAAATAGCAGTAATCTTTTTGTGTGTGCAGGCTGTCTAGTCCTTTTTCAGCCACTGTCATTTCCTTCCATGTATCGTGTGAGAATGAAGACTATTTCAGGTCTGCACCGTGGGCTGGCTGACGGGTGCCGCCATTTGAAGCCGCATCTGGTTGGTTTCCTATGCCCTGTGGCCTTGGCCCTTCCCTGTCCTTGTAGCTGGTCTCCTTGTCGTGCACTCAAAGGGGCGCTGATGCTCTTGGGGTTGGCTTTTATCCAGCATTGCTGCTGACGTGGGGAAATTGGTCTCCAAAAAGTGACAGATGAAAGAAGATCTGGAGGGAGCAGGTGCTGGTTCAGTTTTCTCATTTTGCTAGAACAAGAGGGGTTAAAATGGAGAAAATGCTTATTACTCCAAGGACGAGGAGGGGGTTTTGTATTCAACAGACAGAAAAGAAAATGAGATGGTTGAAATATATTAGTTACAAAGGTGTACTACAGAAAATCACTGGGTGTTCTCCTGACTTTGCCCTTTCACTGTTGGGTAATTGCAAATGGTCAAGAGCTATAGGTTTAGGCACATTGTGCAGTTTTTACCAAGAAAAAGTGTTCCATGACCTTAGGGCCCCTCCATGCAAGGCTAGTTATTTGAGTTATTATGTCATTTATTAACTATGCTAGTAAAAGCTGTTTTTAAAAAGGGGTGGGGTGTGGCAGCACTTGAAAAGTAGTAGGTGTAAGCTCTATATAGTAAAACTACTACTTAGTGCTAGCTGCCACCTAATGGTTATGGGGGTGTGGGTGGACCTACACTGTAAGACTTTTAAATTCCCTTTTGTTTTGCTGCCCAAATCTAAATACTTTTGCTAATAGATAATTGCCCTTTTACTAAGATATACGCTTTACCTATAAAAATGTATTTTGAAAACTTATTTTACACAGCAATTTTGTATCCATTGAAACTAACCTTTTACCAATAAAGCACTATTGTTTAGATATTAAGTGAGTAGTTCTCATTATTGGCTCTTAACGAGGTAAAGGTGTAAGGTTTTCTGGGAAAGATTCAGAGAAAACCCTGCGTTTTCTGTGTATAAAAATCCGGAGGGGGCTTCCCTGGTGGCACAGTAGTTAAGAATCCGCCTGCCAGTGCGGGGGACACAGGTTCGAACCCTGGTCCAGGAAGATCCCACATGCCACAGAGCAACTAATCCCGTGCGCCACAACTCCTGAGCCTGTACTCTAGAGCCCACAAGCCACAACTACTGAAGCCCACGTGTCCTAGAGCCCGTGCTCTGCAACGAGAAGCCACCGCAATGAGAAGCCCGCGGCACCGCAAGGAAGAGTAGCCCCCACTCACCGCAACTAGAGAAAGCCTGCGCACAGCAACGAAGACCCAATGCAGCCAAAAATAAGTAAATAAATTTTTTTAAAAATCAGGAGGAATTATTTGCACCAACATCTGTACCCAACAACTCTGTATTGGTGATCCCAGCCCAAAAGAGCAAGCCATAAAGATTGGAAAGTTACAGGGGAATGTGATCATCTACTTAAAGTGAATGATAAAAATGACCACTAGTGAGAGTTCAGTGATGTCTGCCCACTAAATAGAAAATGTGGGGAAGGATCTCATTCACTGTAGTAACAACTACTAACTTATTAGAAGAAATACTGAAAACCTGGACTGTAAGCCTGATCTGGGTGGCTGGCCGGCCCTCTGCCCACTCCACTGACCACCCCAGGGCCCCTTTACTTCTTTCTCAGTGTCTGCCTAGAGCCCTGTCTCTGGTTCCTTCTTTCCAGGTTCCTCCCTCCCCCAGGTCCTGCACCTCTGCCTCAGGCCCTCCAGCATACACCCCGCAGCCTCTGACCAGGCTTCCCCCCTGCGGGGTCCCCACTGGCGCTGCTCACCTGTCGGGGTTCCGTGCCGAGGGGTGTGTGCCACCCTGGGAGCAGCGAGAACAGCGCCTGGGTTCTGACATCGGGGCTGCCGGTGGTGTCGCTGGGGGCCAGTTAGAGGAAAAGCTCGGAGGGAGCGACTGGGGACAGGAGTGCCCTTCTGAGCCTCGAATCCGAAGCTGCCTCGCGGGGAGCGGCTGTTCCTGCTTCCTTTGGGAAACGTAAGGGGTCGGGGTCTTGATCCGGTGGCCAGAAACCTAGGAGTCCCCTCCTAGATGGGTCCAGGTCCATCCTCGGTTTACTCCCTAGACAGACGCGCGGGGGCTCGCGGGCGCGCTCCTGGCCTAACCCCGGGAGGCGCGGGGACTGCGGCGGGGGCCAGGACCAGGGCAAATTGAACCGGGTCTTGAAGGATGCGTAGAAGTTCACTGAACCTCTTCGAAGAAGGGGCGTGTGCTGCTGCTAGTCGCGGGCCTGGGGGCTCCAGACGTGGTGTCACGTTTCCATTTCCGGGGCCACGAGGCTAGAGGAGGACCGTGAAGCCTGGAAGGGCCTCGGGCCTCGCCAGCACGGCCCGTTTCCTCCTCAGCACATCCTCACGGGGCTATCGGTGCCCGTAGGCCACGACACCAGTAGCCCCAGGAGGATCGCAATTGGTGGGTGGAGCAGGTAACGGGAAAGCTGGCAGCCAGGGGCGGGGGTGGAGGGAGCCAGCAGATGGTCGCGCCAGCACCGCGCCCCGCCCTCCGAGCCGGACCTTGCTCTCAGAGCCGACGCCCCGCCCCCCCAGAGCCGGCGCCCCGCCCCTCCCCGAGCCGGAACCGCGCCCCGCCCAGGACCCCGTGCCGCCCTGCCAGCCGAATAGCTGCTGAATTGCATTGGACTCCGCGCTTGCCCTCTCGCCCTGCCTCCTCCGGTCCATTCACCAATCAGAATTCTGTGCCGCGCTTCTAGGCCGCGGCCGCGGAGGCCCCGCCCCAGAGTCCGCAGGCCAATCGGCGGCGCGTCCGCGGGGGCGGGGGCGGAGCCCTGGGCGGGGGGTAGGGACTGGGCGCGCGGCGCGGGGGCGGCCTACGGGCGGTCGCAAGCGGGCGGAGCAGACGAGGGATTTGAAGGGCGCTGTAGGCGACAGCGCGGGCTTGGCGGCTGGTGAGCGCGCGGGGCAGCGGGGCCCCGGTCAGGCAGGGGCCGGGCTGCGCCTCGGGGGTGGGCAGCGGAGGCCGTGAGCCGAAGCCCAGGGCAGGGCGGGCGCCTCCGGACGGCGGGAGGCCAGAGGAGTCCACACCCGGGCTCAGAAGGCCTTACTTAGGGCGGCAGGCCCCGTGCGGGGAGGGCCGTGTGTGGGGAGCCTGCCCGCTGGAGGCCCGGGGTGGGCGGGAGGGTCCCGCGCGGAGGCGCCGGGGGTGGGCGGGGAGGGTCCCGCGCGGAGGCCCCGGCAGAGCCACAGGTGGAAGCTCGCGCCGCCTGAGACCACGCCCTTTTTGGCCTTTCCTTAGATTGTATCTTAACGCCGGGAATCGGTATTAGGTGTTAATGTTTTTGTTTTGGTTTTTGGTTTTTTTTGCGGTACGCGGGCCTCTCACTGTTGTGGCCTCTCCCGTTGCGGAGCACAGACTCCTGACGCGCAGGCTCAGCGGCCATGGCTGACGGGTCCAGCCGCTCCGCGGCATGTGGGATCTTCCCGGACCGGGGCACGAACCCCTGGCTCCTGCATCGGCAGGCGGACTCTCAACCACTGCGCCACCAGGGAAGCTCAGGTGTTAATGTTTTTACTCCATGAAGTGTAGAACGGCTCCTCAGACAGTGGGGAGACTTCTAAAGGCAGACGGTGAAAGCTGGGGCTGGAATATGCCCCCGTTTCCGTTTACTATGGTGGCTGCAGCCTCTGGTGGCCTTTCGTGTGCTGGTCAGTAATTGCCGTGAAAAACAAATTCACACAAGGTGCATTGAAGGAAATAATGTCAGTCCACAGTGAAAGGATGGGAAGATTTACATCTCAGGGTGGCTCTTCTCTGTACCTTTGCTCACGTCTGTGAGGGCGCTTCCGGCGGAGGACTGCGGAGGTGCTTGATGGGTGTCAGGAGCGTTGGACCAGCGGGCTGCTTGTGTGTGGACAGTGTGCAGTTTTCTCCTGCCACAGAGATGGGAGAGGACATTTGAGGTCAGCAGGCATGGAGTGACCTTTGCTGGTAGGCCACATCTAATGTTCATTGTCTGTATCTGCTGTTTTTTGAAAGTTTTTTATGAGTTCCTGTACACTACAGACGTAGCTCTTTGGGAAGGGTTGTGAAGCGCTTCACACGCGTTATTTTATTTGGTTCTCTCAAAATCTTCAGAGGAGACGTGCCCAGGCCCCGTCTGGAAGCAGAGGAGCGGGGTGACCGGTTTAGGGTCACACCCTGGCCCTGCTTCCCTGGTGCTCCTGCTTTGTTGCAGATTCTCCGTGAGCAGTTCACACTGAGCTGTTTGGACCAGATGCTGACAGGAGCTGCAGAAGTTTGCTGGCTCATTTACATGCATGGGCATCCTTTCCCAAAAGGGAAGTTTATTTGATACATTCATCTATCTCTGCCTCAGGTTCCCTATCAGTAAATGAGGTTACAGCTTACCTGTCTCATAGACTTGTTGTGAGGGTTAAACATCAGTGGAAACGCTGTTAGCTAGATGCCTGGGACACAGTAAGTGCTTGACAAGTGTTAGCCATTATATTACCAGGTGGAAGAATGATCTGGGTAGACAGTAGAGAGAGAAGTACACAGTATTTAAGCAGAATTATCCTGCTTGGAGGGAAGGATATGCACTGGATTGACAAAGCAAAGGTGGATGCATGGGTAATTCCATGCAAGCTCTTTTGAATCCCCTGGGCCCCAAGGAATTCTGTTCTACTCCTTTCCAAACACTCCTGCCTCTAGTCACACCAGCACCTCCTCTATCCTGAGACAGTAACAGGTGTTTGTTGCTGCTGCTTTTGCCCTTTCAGGTTTGTTCCTGTTTTTTCTTCACCCGCTTTCGTATAAGCCTGCCACCTCCTCATTTGCTCAGTGGGTCGTGAGCTTCCTGCACACGGCTTGGCATTAGGTGCAGGGAAACCCCCCTGTAAAGCTGGATGTTGCGCCGAGGTCACTCTGGTGGTGCTCTCTGAGATCCCGTGTGTAGAGCATGATTGCACGGTAGCATATGTGTCAATTCCAGGTTTTACTTTGGCAACAGGGTGCCAAAAAGGTGAGGGGGTTCCACAAAGCTTAATATGATAGAGGCCGGTGTTTGGTGGGTTTCTGGTGATTCTGTAAATTCGTCTAATCTTTTTGGAGAGCAGCTAGCCGTATGTGATAAAGATTTTGATTTTGGAATCCCAGTTTGTTTTTGAAAACAAACTTTGATACATAAACTCTGCATGTCAGAGGGTAGAGTACTCCTCAGCCAGCAGACATGCTCTGGCAATCTCCTTCCTATCCTTCCTTCCCAGCAAAATTTGAACCATTTTGATCCATGGAAATATGTTCAAAAGCACGTCTTAACCAAAAAGGCGAAGTAGTTTGTACACAGCAATTATACGGATGTAAAAATGTGCGAGGACGTGGGCAAGGATCAGAAGGGAAGGTGGAGTGATGTAAGTAGTTTTATTTTAGGGTCACAGGACTGTTTTCTCGCTAAGCTGGTGTTCTGGTTTATAGTCATTTTAAAAGTCAAAAGCAGAAAGGCCCTCTGACGTTGTCGGGTGCAGTGACAAATCTTTCTTCATTCCCTCTCTCCCAGCTGCAGCACAGAAGGAGGTATGAGATTCCACCCAGACCTCTTAGGTGGGCTCTCGAGACCCCCACAGCCCGGCCCACCGTGGGCATCCTAAGGGCCCCTGCCACTCTCAGCCTTGCCCAGCAGCCCCTGCCTGTGCACAGGCTGCTCTTGTCTAGCTGGTCTCCTGTCGCCCCGCAGGGCCCAGCTCCTGCTTCATCCCGGAGAGCCGTCCTGGCCAGGCTAGCCGCGCTGCCTTCCTCGGTGTTACCTCGTGCCTCCTGCCTTCCACTGCTGCGGCAGGCAGTGGTCAGGGCCACGTCCACAGTGGTCTCCCCTTCTAGATCATTGTGTACTTGCCACGTGGGGTCCCTTAAACCGGAGATGGGACAGCACGTGTGCGATGGGGGTTGTGAGGACCAGATGCGCAGACACCCGCTTTTTGCTGAGGTCTCCTCCCTCCCTCTCCACCTACCAGATTCCTGGAGGCTCCCTCACTTCACTTCCACACGGCTCTTACCGCCCTTTAACAGACTGTCTTCTTTGTCTTCTCCCACTGTCATGGGAGGGATTTCCTCCCTCTTACAGGCTCCCGTATCTTTAAGGACTTAGATTTGCTTGATACCGAGGCAAGGTGCTCAATCAGTGTTTGAACTCATCAAATTTCGTCTGGGGCAAGGGCAGATGCCAACTTTTATGGGGCCTGAGACTTACCCAATCTGGGGGAGGAGACCTCTTTAAGCAAATACAGTGTTACAAATAGGAATCAATTTGAAAATTAATTTACAGATGTTTATTTAGAATGAGACAAAGTAAATAAGATACAGATTTGAAAAAGCTGACCGCTGGTACAGACGTCACTCAGTCCAGAAAGATAGCATATTTGTTAATTATCTGACACACTTCTGTAACACTTTTCATTTGGCTAGGTACTTTTTAGTTGTCTCTTCATATGACAGAGAATAGAAAGAGCTCAGTGATTCCTCTAGCATGGCTGATCAGAAATCTTATTATTGATTGTTAGGATGCATAAAACATGGTTTCACACTTGCTGTTTCTAGCACAGATATGTCTCGGAAAAGCGGGAGTTCTGATAAATTCTGTTTTGCACAATTCCATTCAAAAACGTTAAAAAATCAATGGTGTATTTATAGTTATACTGCTACATTATAAATTTTTTTTTCTGACAGGCGAGAAGTGTAGTTTTGACTACTGAGTACCGAACTCTGCGTGCATTTTGACAAGTCTGGTGATGATTTTCCCACAAATGTGCGTCTGGCTCCCCGAGTTTCAAACCTTGCTCCTTTCCCAGGGCCCACACGCTTCCAGCACCAGGTGCCATCGGGTCTGTTCATGTTGCTGCAGGGCCTGGGCCCTGCACCTTTGTTCCATAACCCTCCAGCACACAAACACGGGACTGGCAGTGGTGTTCCGGGAACCATAGCTGCATTGTGAGGCTGGTGGTCACCTCAATGTGAACACCTGAAACGTCTCCGCTTCAGCCCAAACTAAGGGTGTCCCTGGCTCCTTGTGCTGGTAGCTGGGTCCTCTCCTGAGCTGCCTGACGTGGAGGGAAGGAGGGACAGAAACAGATGTGGGGTGGAAGGGGCAGCAGTGTTAGTCGATTGCAATTTGAATATGTTTTCGAATTTCCCAAAAGGCTGTGATCATGGCCGCACTTCACTGAGGGCCTTTCTTAGGACCTTGGCAGGCCGGTGCCAGGTAGGGGCCCAGAAACGAGGCAGAATGGCTTTAGAGTCACACTGCCGGCATAGGGGCAGCCTGTGGTCCGTTGCTTGGTACCACACAACACCGTGGAGGCACGTGGGTGAGGGTGCACGGCACCTCCTCCTGCGGCTGGCGGGATGTGTCTGGAAGCAGGAAGCAGCGCTGGCTATTTTACAGCCGTTTAAATGACTGGGCGTGATTCACTTTACCTCCTGCGTCGTTCAGATCCCAGTTGCCTTGGTAATAGTTAACACAAGCTGAGTGTGGGGGGAACAAGTCTCAGTGTCGGAACAAGAAATCGATTTTTTACATTGATCTAAAGAGAGTGTTTTAAGATGTTAGTTTTTATTTTAACTGCACTATTTGAGAAGCAAGAACAAGCGCAACACCTAGAGGAGACGTGGGTGCTTACCCCGGCTCTCTCTTTGAAGGCGAGCGGGCTCGGCTGTAGGTGACCCCTGCCGTCGTCTGCCCGGAAGCCATCTGATTTCAGAAGTAGCGCACGTTCATCACGGTAGGCAATTCAAGAGATACAGGCGCCAGGAAAGAAGGAAATAAAAATCAGCCCTCTTCCCTCTCTCAAAGATGACCTCTGCAAACATGCTTTAAATGCATGGATGCCAAGTTCCGTTTGTGGGAAGAAGGAATGAGCCTCCTCCACCCTGTCTCTCCCGCTGACTGTGGCCACAAAGCTGGACAGCTGCGGGAGCAGCCCTGAGGACCCTGGCAAGGAAGTGGTGGCGGGCAGACAAAGGCCAGGGTCTGAAGTGCCTGCCGCAGGAGCACTGAGCTTCCTGTTCTCCCTCCAGCACCCCCGGTCCCCAGCGTCTTCAGGGTGTCCGAAACCCAGAGGTGGGCTCCAGGGGCAGATAGGGAGGGCTGCAGGGGGAGCCACCCAGTTTGGGGTCTAGAGGGAGTGGGAGAAAGCCACCATTTCTTCTTCTCTCTCTCCCTGTTCTCCAGCCAGGCCTGAGACACCTAAAACTCCAAGGGCTTTTTACTCTCTTTCCTGCAGCCTGGTCCCAGCAAGGGTGCAGTCCCAGGACGTGCACGGCAGAGCAGGGGAACAAGCCACAGTCCTCTGGCTGGAAGACTGAGAAGTAAGCCAGGGAGCTATGGGGTGGGGTGGGGGGAGCTCAGGAGGTGACCCCTCACAGTTGCCGGTGAACTTGTGGGCTCGACACCGAGCTGTACACGCATGGGGCCGACCCTGTGCCACTTGCCAGAGGCTGTGGGAACTCAACTAAGGGGTCGACCACAGCCCGGGAGCCAGGCTGTCAGCTGGGTGATGGTGCACAGGGAGGATGGAGCCTCTGAAGGTGGAGCTGATGCTGAGACCCCGGCTGCGGCCTGAACCCGGCAAGGCCGTGCTGCTGAAAGAGAAGTGCCATATTCCCTGTGGGATTTAAACAAGGCCAGAGGCTCATAACACAGTGTTTAAAATGTCCAGGATATAATCCAAAATTACCTGGCCTACACAGAACCAGGGAAATACCACCTCACAAGAGAAAAGACAGGCTACAGCTGAGATGATGCAGACATTGGAATTACCCGACAAAGACCTTGCGGTGGGCAGAATTTTGGCCCCCATGGCCGTCACCCCCTGGTGTTACTTCTGGGAACAGGTTATGTTACGTGGCAAAAGCACATCGACAAGGTTCCCTATGCGACATGACTGAACACTGTAGACTCAGGAAGCAGAGCCCAGCGCTGCCCTCCCAGCGCCTCCCCCTCCCCCTGCCCCTGCCCCCAGAGGCAGTTCTTTCCTTTAGGTTTTGGTTTACCCTCCAGGGTGGTTGTTTGAAAAATGCATGTGTTTACCGTCTTCCTCTTTTAACCAGTTAGTGCACCACGCGCCTTCTTTGTACCTTGCTTTTATTCACCTTTTCATCAAAGAAGCATGTAGAGATCTTTTCCATGCGTGACCGAAATTTTAGCAACTTCCACTGCTGTGGACAGTGGACTGCGCTTGTCTGGGGAGCCACAGGCTGATTTCCCACCCGAGGGGGAGGCGACTTGAGGGCCAAATCTGGGCTGGGCTCTTGTCCTGGCTTTGTCACTTCTGAATTATGTGTTCTGTGGCAGAGCTTCTTTTTCTTTTTAATAGACCTGCTTTTTAGAGCAATTTTAAGTTCACAGCAAAATTGAGTGGAAGTTTCACAGATTTCTCATATGCCCCCTGCCCCCAGACGTGCACAGTCTCCCCCCCGTCCCCCCCACCCCCCCGAGTGGTACCTTTGTTACAAACCTGCATTGACACATCATCACCCAAAGCCTTGGCAGACTTTTGAGCCGAAGTTTTCCAACTTCAAGATGGAAATTATATGTCACGAGTTGGTTTTTAAATTTTTTATTAAATGAGAATATATAGGAGCCGAGTTTGTAGTAGGTAACACTAGGTATCAGTGGTGGAAATTTGTATGTAGCCACCAGAAATATTTTTAGGCATGAAGACTGCAAATCATTTTGTTCACCTGGGAGGGAGAAGGGAACTGGAGTCCCTCGTAGGCACCTGACTGTTGACATCGCTGATTCCCTCCAGATTTCTGGAGAGGGTCTCTGGCAGCAGCAGGGGAGTGAGCAGGGACTAATAATGCCTGACGTTTAGAGCCTGCAGGACTGCGGGACGCGCTCTGTGTGTCTAGTCCAGTTTGCATATTCTTGCCTTTTTAACGTTTATTTATAAGCACACAGAGCAAAACAAAGTAATTTCTGTTAGTTTATTAATTTATGTAAAGAAAATTCAGTGCATACATTTTTCCCTTTGATTTTTTCCCATTGTCAGACTACAGGAAGCAATCAGGTTGTATGTAGCAAGACTGTTGAATGAGCAGCTTCACGCTCCTGCAGGGAGGGGTCCTTCTGCTGCTCGTTCTAAAATGACACCATGATTATTAACTAACATTCACAGCACAGCAGTTACATTCAGTTTTCCATTAAGTGTCTTCCTTTCTAAACTTTCTTAAACTTAAAGCTGAGTAATTATCAAATGGGTGGTTTAATGCCACATTGCCGTTGTGTAATAGCAAACAGAGCTTTCTTTGGAATATCAGCAGGAGGGTGCCCCATGGGGTCACTCCCTCTTAAGAGAACTTGTCTCCCTCAGATGAACCTCTGGGATCAGGCCGTCTCGTGGTCCGGAGTCTCAGCCTAAGCTGTGTGGGTGTCTTACTTTGACCAGGTGCAAATAACTAGGATGTAAGCATGCTGCTCACAAGGTATACAAACCTGCAAAGGCTTGCTCTCAAGAGCCATGTTTTAGAATTCCTTGAGCCAAGAAAATTGTGTTTTTCATCTGTCTAACATATCTTTTGTTCTTATGAGAGATGAAACAATGGTAAATTAAAAGTATGTTGGTTTAAATATATTTTTTATTATAAAATAGACACAGATACAGAAAAACTGCATTAATCAAATGTACAGATTAATGAATGAAGTGGACACTGTCCAGTGAAGCGATGGAACTGTGCCGGCCACACCCAGGACCCCTCCCCTGTGCCCTGCCCCCGGGACAGGCCCCTCCCACCAAGGGGACCACTGCCCTGTCTGTTCTAGGAATAACCTCCTTGCCTGTTCTTGCAGTTTTCTCACCCGGATGTGCCCCTCAAGACAGGTTAGTCTTGCTTGGTTTGGTTTGTTTTCTTTTTTTTTAAAGTAGGCGTTTAGACATGACTTTCTTATAATAAGTAAAAGAGAAAGAACCTGAAGAAATTTTTTTCCATCTAAAATTATTATGAAGAAATATAAATGAGAATTTTACAGTGGAATACACAACAGAAGTGACTCCTAAAAGTACATCTTGGTTGTATATATGTTTTCAGAATTGTAGCTTTACTTAAAAGGGAAAGGATCACTTTGGTGCCCAAAGTAAAACATCCCGTAGCTTGTTTCAGGAGAACCTCCTCTTGGTGGCGGGTGTTGGGCGAGTGCTGTGAGCTGACCACGCTTTACTCTCACCTGTGTGCGCACCTGGGACACCTGAGAGGTGGGCTTGACTTCCTTAACACCCCTCTCTTCCGCAGTAACTACTCAAGTTTGTGAGACTGGCATGAAAACGCTCACATTTATGGCTCTCAGAGCTTCATATACCTCACGCTGAGTATCAGTCAGTGGCAGGAAAACAGGGCTTTGCTGAAGTGTGGTTCCTGACTGCGGCATACATGGTGCCTGTTCTTTGATGCCTGCGACGACGTTAATTAAGTAAATACTTAGCAAATATTTACAGAATTAGTGACCGCTCCTGGGGGCATGCAGCCTGGAGAGAGAATTCTGAAGACGGTGGGTAACTGCCGACCTGAACCACACGTGTGGCGCAGGGGATCTACGTGCCAGTCCGAGCCCCCGGGGGTCAGCCCGTTTGTGCATGGGCTGGGTTGGGAGCTGTATTTCGCAGAATGACCCGTCGCCTCATCACTTTGCTCATGCTACGCACATTTCACCTTTCCCGGGGGTTTAGCTTTCTCATTTTCTGTTTGCTTGTTTGATAAACCAGACATGCACGGAAATTCTCATGCAGATCGCTGGGAAGGTCTTCGCTGAGTAGGGTTTAAGTAGGAGTTGCTTGGCAGTGGGTCACTGAGAAGCTTTTCCATCTTAATTGAAGAGATAATAAGTTCATGAGTTGGTTTATCTTGATAACAAAATAAGCTCGAAAAAGAGGAAAAGGCCACAGGACTCAGCAATCAAGTTGGCATGAAAGGGCACGGACTAGGAGTTTAGTGAGATTAATTCTCTAAAATATTTACTGCAAATTAGTAGAAGACTTTTTGAAGATGATTAAGCAAAATAAAATGATTTTCACCGCATCTGCATTTTTTTTTTTTTTTTTTTTTTTTTTTTTTGTACACGGGCCTCTTTCTTTTTTTTCCTCTTCCGTTTTGGTGCACAGGCTCTGGACGCGCAGGCTCAGCGGCCATGGCTCACGGGACCAGCCGCTCCGCGGCATGTGGGATCTTCCCGGACCGGGGCACGAACCCGTGTCCCCTGCATCGGCAGGCGGACTCTCAACCACTGCGCCACCAGGGAAGCCCCTGCATTCTTTCTTGATTAAACATCTGACATTTGTGTTTGCCATACTGTGTTTAACCATTAGGTATGTTTCTTTAAGTTGACTTTCATACATAAATACACGTATTTAAGAAGGGAATTGGCCATAAATAGAAGGTAATTATATTAATAAGGACGACTGAAAGCAAGGCAGTATGACCAGATTCTAGCGGGCACTGAGCCTATCCTTTGGTTGTTAGAAAACAATGGCGTGATTGGCTCTGTTCAGCTTAACAGCTAAGAACCGGAGACCCTTCCCCCCGCACGTTGAGGAGGGTTGAAAGGGCACAAGTGCCTCCCGGGGCAGCTCTCTGACCCTTGCAGACCCTCGGTGTCGTCATAGGTGAGGAGGGCGTGGGTGGTGGTGACCACAAGGGTATTATGAGGACTGGGAAGGGTGCTGGGAAGGGTGGCACGCGTGTGCTCCCCGTGACATGTGCCAGGCTGTCACTCAGCGCCAAGTCTGAAGTTACCTCCTGAACCACTGGTGGCCCCCACTCCAGCCTGGTGACACAGCTTAGAAAAACCAGGGTGTGCAAAGCGGGCAGACAGCCTGGCTGTCTTCATCCACCTTCCTTGGCATTTTCCCCACCGTGTCAGCAGAGGTGGGACCCGGGACCCATGCTGGCACCGTGCTGTGTGTACCCCTTTCCCTTTGCTGAAAAGCGCTGTCCAGCACACAGAGCGTGTGGTCAGCACGTGAATTGTCTGGGCTGGTGGAGGGAGGAGGTGCAGGGCCTCCAGGTGGTCTGGGGAAAGAGAGGCAGGCGGCTGTGGGCCTCCCCTCCCCTGCCGGTGGGCAGAGATGCTGCGGCTCCTTCAGAGGGTCTGGGGGTTAAATGAGTTCACGCACTGCCAGCTTGCGTGCACCCCAGCGATAGTGGTGTTGGGGCGTGTTGCTGTGTATGCTCACCAGTCAAGGTATGAGGAGAAGATAATCTTTCTAAACTCTTAATTTTGATGTACGTTAAGACTCGTAGAAGTGCAAAAACAGTGCAGAGAATTCTTGTGTACCTGACAATTTTCTTATGTTGTTTTAATATCGAAATAACTGGGGATAATTTGGGGGTTTTGTGTGTTTTAGTGCATTCCTCACTCTTAGCTGGTGAAGAATGGGGGAGCTGGAAGGAACCTACCGCGTCCTGCAGACCCCAGGGACACGCCTAGGCGCCCAGACCCCCGCGGGCGTCAGCACCCTCGAGCCTGGGCATGGCCCCTCGGCAGCAGCGGCGTGGCCAGCGGCCAGGACGCCCATCCGAGTGCAGCTGCTGGACAGCTCCGTCGAGGTGTTTGACGTTGAGGTAAGAAGCGAGATTCCTGGAGGCCTAGTTCCTCGCGTTTTCTAGAAGTCGGGTAATATTTGGTATTATGTACCAAACTCCATTTTGCTGGTTAGACTTTGCCTGTTTATCGAGTCGCCCATGAGTGGCTGGGCTGGTAATAAAATCCTTGGGAACTCCGTCTGCGTTTCCCCTTTTAGTTTGGGGAGTGGTGTTCTCCTGACTTAAAATTCTGACGTAATGTGGTCTTGACATTCTTCTCTTTTGAGAGGCTGGCTGAGAGCCACGCAGTGCAGACTGGAACCAGCTTGTCTCCACCCAGGTCCTGGTGGCCGAGCCGCTGGGTGAGGGACGCCCCTTAGCCTCACAGTGTGTCCTCGTCTGAATGTGAGGGTGACTCAGGTCCCTGCTTCCCAGGGTGGCTGGGGTGAGGGCAGAGCACTCAGCACACGAAGAGCCTGGCACAGCGCTCGCACAGGGCTTGTCTTTCTAGGTCAGCAGTAGGAACATTTTTATTGTGAAAATTCTCTAATAATACATTGCACTGATAATGTTGGCAAAGACAGTTGAATATAGCAAATGTTTGAAAACATCTTTTCTGATTTTCTAAACGGCAATAGAATGAACGTTCTTTTAAAAAATTACTTATTTTCATAAGTAATGCAGGAATACATTCTTTTTTCTAATATTTTTATATTGGTTTAAAGTAATACCTTTGGAAGCATCCCCTGCTCTTAATGTCACAAAGTAAAGACGAGAGAATGAACTTAAACTTTAGCAGGGGGTTTATTTATGCTTGGGGAGAGGTCCAGATGCTACACAGAAAATAGAAAGATGACTGAGGAGCTGTGGGCCCGGTGTGAAGAGGCCTAGAGGAAGCCTTGAGGCTCCCGCAGAGCCTGATCGCAGGATGCCTTGCGTGAGAAGGCAGAGGTGAGGAAGGAGGTGAGCACGGTCGGGGGCGGGGAGCGGAGGGGAGAGGCCAGCTGGGGGGCTTGAGGAGTAGAGGTGCCCTCCTGCTTGGAGCCCAGGGTACACCTTGAGTGTTCGATGGCAGGTATCTAGTGCCTAGATTCCTAGTGTCTGAACTCAGGGAACCCTGAATGCTTCTTTTAGGTCTTATTTGAGGAAGAAACCAGATGTCATTTCGTCAGGGCAGTGGTAACTGGAACTGGTAGGGCCTGTCTGTCCACCTTCCCAGGTCACTCCTGTGTTGCAAGAAGCAGCCTTTGCAGGGCAGCGAGTTGGGAACAGGCCACCTTTGAGCCCTCAGGGCGGGGACTGGCTCTCGGTCCCTATCTTACTGTACTCGGATGAGTCACCTGGAGAAACAGGTTAAAGATCTGGGAATTAGCTGGGCTCCCACCTCTCTTCCGGCCAAATGTTTGGAAGAATTCCCACCATGTAGCTGTCCTATGATAAACACATTTGCTATGGTCTAGGCTTAAAAGAGGTTCAGATTTTTTGAAAGAAAGGAAGGAAGAAGAGAAAAGAAAAGAATTGCATTAGTTAGGGTTTACTTTTAGAGCATCTTTTTCTGGCCTGCTTAATGGTCTTTACCAACTAAACCTAGGACCAGAAAAGGAAAAAAAGCACACATTTATTGTTGAGTCATAAATAAGATGTAATCCTTCTCTGAGAAATTCACTTTTAAATCAGAGATAGCATTTTATAAAGGTTCAGAATATAGAGAGCGTGTCGAAGTTTTAATAAATTGAGATTGTTGTTTCTTTTAACCAAATAGAACCATCATGTTTGGTATTTTGATAGACCTGGCAGAGTTACCAGAAATTAAAGAATCGGATTGCTGTTGTATATCCCGAGTTGGATGGGGTCCTTTTTAAATTGTGCTACTCATTGATGCATACCTTTCAGGAGAAGTTAAAACTCAATGTATTTTTTTGTAAGTTAGTTGTATTCTATTTCTAAGTACCCTAGCCGTCTACAACTGTATCAGTTAGCTTTGCTGAGTAACACGTCACCCCCAAACCTGATAACTTAAAAGAGCAAATATTTAATATTTTCTGCATGTCTGAGTGTTGGCTTGGAGGTTCTTCTGGTCTGAGTGCTGAGTGGTCTAGGATGGCCTCGCTCACATGTCTGGGGCCCCAGCTGGAACCTCTCTCCGTGTGGGACCTCACTCTCCAGCGAGCTGGCGTGACCTTGTGCGCATGGTGATGGGAATGCGCTCGGGGGTGGCAGCTGTGAGGTCCCTGAGGCCTAGGCTTGTAATTCACACGTGTACCTTCTGCCGGGTTTGGCTGATCAAGCAGGCTGCCAGGCAAGCCCAGGTTGAAGAAGTACCCGGAGTCTGTGGCCATTTTCTGCAGAGGCTCTCACACGGCTGCTGCCAGGGATCAGATGCACAGTCCCTGGAAAGTCTCTGAAGCTCTGGTATCTGGTGTCAGCGGGCTGGGTGGGTTTGCCAGATGAAGCACTTTGTGGGGCCTCCTCCGGGAGGGGCCGCTGGAGAAGGTGCATCTGCCCTGCTCCCTCCTCCCCAGTGTCTCCCGTGGGCCGCCGTCGCCAAGATCCGAGATGCAGAGCCCAGGCTGGGTCTCCCTGGGCCTGCCGCCCCTGCCCCACCATCCCTGGTCACTGATCTTGTCTGTCGTTCCCCCCGCCCGCCCTGTACAGTTGGACTGAGAGACACACTGTGGTTGGGTGACTTTCGCTGTGGGTCTGTGGGTGGTATAGACTTGAGGTGCCGGGCAGTGAGGTCCCGGGGCGGATGGCCTCTGTTGTTGGCACAAAAGGCAGGTCTTGGGGAAGACGCCCCCACCCCGGAGCTGGCCGGGCTCTCCTCCTGGAAGGCAGGTCCTGGGCGGCGAGGCTGCTTCCGTGTTTGGACCAGTGCCGGTAAGTGCGGTCGACCGAACGGAAGCGGGGGTGAGCTTGGGTAACGTGCTTTCGTTAGGAGAGTTTTTAGTTTTTCCCTCTATGGCAACGTCTTCTGACGCTAGGGATTCAGGTGCCGTGTTTTGTGTGTCTGGGGTTTTGGGGCCGTCCACACCTATCTTACGGTGTGCTGAGTTGGTTTATTTTTTACTAAGTATTCTGCAGTATTATCAGCAGACTCGCAGGGTTGATGTGCAGCCGGTGACACCTGGCCTGGTGTGGCCTGTGTGGACTCCCCTGGTTGTTACTGAAGGTTTATTCTTAGGGGAAGAAGGTGACGTTTAGTTATTTTTGAAACGGCGTCTTCTGCTGGTGCCTGTGGCTCTTCACAGGCAGAGTCTGTGGCTCATCGTCTCTTGCTGCTTCAGCAGCTGAGGCTGCCCTCCCCCAGCCCTCATTCCCTTCCTTCCAAGGGGTGAGCGCATCCGCGAGCCCCCGGCTCCGTCTGTCTCCCACCTGCTAGGGCGGTGACGTGAGCTTTGCTTCCGCCAGCTCAGGCCCCACGATACCAGCCAGCGCTCTGAGAGCCAGAACCGCTGGCCACACGGGAGCCTTTTCTTCCTCTGGCTTTCTCTCTCTTGGTCTGCAGTCCTGCTGCCCCAAAGTCGGGGTGGCTGGAAGCTGGAAGCTGGGGTCTGTCTGCTTTTTCCTGAGCAGCTCTGGATAAGCTGAAACTTTCTAGCAGCTTTATTGAGATATAACCGTACAGTCACCCACGTAAAGCGTGCAATTCAGTGGTTTTTAACGTATTCACAGAAACGCAGAGCCATCACGCCGGTCAGTTTTAGAACGTTTTCATCCCTCCCAGTTGGAAACCCCACGCCCTTTAGCTGTCGCCCTCGCAGCCCCAGCATCCTCAGTGCCCCCCCAGCTCTAAGCAAATCGTGACCTGGGTCCTGTTTCCACAGACCCCTTTCATCTGAGCAGAGTCGTACGTGGCTTTTTGTGATTGGCTTGTCACTTAGCGTGGTGTTTTAGGGGTTCATCCACGTTGTTAGACGTCTCAGCACTATTTTCCTTTTTGTTCCCCACTCGTCAGCTGGTGGACGTCCCACCTTTGGGCTGTTGGCGAACTCGCTGCTGTAAACATTCAGGTACAGGTTTTGTGGGGACATGCGTTTCCGCTTGTCTCGGACAGACCCCTGGGGGTGGGACTGCTGAGTCGTACAGCGACTGTGTGTGATCGTTTGGGGAACTGGCAGACTGCTTTCCAAAGCAGCCGCACCATTTATATCCACCAGCCACTTTATGAGGCTTCCAATTTCCCCACGTTCTCAACTACACTTACTATTCTTTGACTTTTTGATTCTAAACATCCTAGTGGGTTTCAGGTGGTATCTCGTTGTGGTTTGAGGTGAAATTTTTAAAATTTTTAATGGCTAAAGAAAGGAAGGTTTTCAGCCCAAAAATATGAGAATTGTACCATTAAAAATTTATCTTTGGGTCTTCCCTGGTGGCTCAGTGGTTGAGAGTCCGCCTGCCGATGCAGGGGACACGGGTTTGTGCCCCGGTCCGGGAGGATCCCACATGCTGCGGAGCGGCTGGGCCCGTGAGCCATGGCTGCTGAGCCTGCGCGTCCGGAGCCTGTGCTCCACAACGGGAGAGGCCACAACAGTGAGAGGCCCGCGTACCACAAAAAAAAAAAAAAAAATTATCTTTGGGCTGGTTCCTTGGATAGATTATGAGTAATTGTGGAGTTAACCGTTTAGCTGTGGCCCAGTTACCACACGTGGAGTGAACATTTCTACATCCCAGAGTTGTGAGGACCACAGAGAAAGCAGGCTGAGGGCAGGCCCTGGAGGCCCTGGGAACTGAAGCTGGTAGAGGAGCGGGAGCTGCCGTGTCAAAATTTTTAAAACATTTTAAAGTTTCATTTAGACTTTTACTGACACTGTATTTATTTTTATTTATTTTTAAAAGATGTATTTGTTTGTTTATTTATTTATTTATTTGGCCTGTGCCGGGTCTTAGTTGCGGCATGCGGGATCTTTAGTTGCAGCACGCAGGATCTAGTTCCCCAACCAGGGATCGAACCCGGGCCCCCTGCATTGGGAGCATGGAGTCTTACCCACTGGACTACCAGGGAAGTCCCCTGACAATTGTATTTTTAAATCAATATTTAT